TCACTGACTTCAGTCGCAAAGCACACCCTCTTTTTGGAATTTCCCTTATGTATATGACCCATCACTGGGGCTCACACTACAGAAGACTCAATTTCTCTGTACAAATTCCTTCTAAACACATCCAGCATCCTTGTTAACTCCAAAATGGCTACTGCTCTGGAAATCTTTCCTCCCAGATCAAATAGCAGGGAATGGTCTGGATTGTTGTTATACTGTAATGAAATTAGACTGAAGTGAATATAGCTTAAAATATGCATTCCGAGCGATGTGGAACTGTTTTTCATATTGCTGGCACAGTGGGAGTGAAGTGAAAATGTGATAATGTATGGGGGATGCTCTGAAAATTGTGAAGAGCGACGCAAATGTGAAGTAGATATTTTCCCCCCAAATTGCCAAGAAGCGTTTCCTTTCTGAGGCCAGGCCTTGGCGAATGCCAAGCACACGCGATTTGAGATGAGGACTACGGCAGTGATTCTTTGCTTTCTTGCCTCTCACTGCATCCTCTGCCAAGGCCAGAATAGTTAGGAGACGCTTGGCCAGCTGCTGGAAGCAAGTTGAGGACTCTGCTTAGAAAGATGACATCACCCCTCAGACTCAGTTTTCTCTCCAGGATGACGTCGTCACAGAGTTGTGATGGAGGTGAAATGAAATTTTGTAGGGCAAAGTGCATAAGGGCTGGGGCCATCATAGTAAGTGCTCAACAAATGGGAACTGTTTTTGACCTTTTTTTTTTTTTTTGAGACTAAGTCTTGCTCTTGTCCCCCAGGCCAGAGTGCAATGGCATGATCTCGGCTCACTGCAATCTCTGCCTCCCGGGTTCAAGCCATTCTCCTGCCTCGGCCCCCCAAGTAGCTCGGATTACAGGTGCCTGCCACCACGCCCGGCTAATTTTTGTATTTTTTTCATTTGAGACGGGGTTTCACCATGTTGGCCAGGTTGGTCTCGAGCTCCTGACCTCAGGTGATCCCCCCGCCTCTGCCTCTTAAAAGTGTTGGGATTACAGGCGTGAGCCACCACGCCCGGCCAATTGTTGGTCTTATAACCCTGCTCTCACTACTGACAGGGTAGGAAGGGGCCTCTCAGTCCCAGTCACTGGCCCTGGGCCTCAGCTCAGGCCGAAGACTTCCAAGTGGCGGGAAACAGTATTTCTGGGTTGCTGGGAGAGTAGACCGGTCCTAATGCCGCTGTAATCATTAAAAGGGCAATGCAGATGGGCGGCCCGCCAGGGGCTTGAAAACCCATTGCCCTTTTAAGGGGCGTGGCTTCTGGGACGTGCGTAAAGACCCTCCAGGCAGGGGCGGGACCAGAGGGCTACGCGCGCCAAAGAACAGGGGATATGCAAATATCTATGAATATGCTAATGAGCTTTCGGTTTCCCAGCGAATGATCGGGCACCGCCTGGACTGGCAGAGCAGACTAGGGAAGAGGAAATGAGAGGACCTTGAGATTCAACCGAGTGGCTGAATGGAAACTAACTCCCGATGGAGAATGTGCGACGTTTCTTCCACAGCACCCGAATCTCGAAGCCCCACTGGCACCACCCATCAGTCCCTCCAGTTCCTCACTAGCGGGATGAAGGGGGAGGGCGTGGGAGATTCTTTTGGCTGCGGTAAGGATCTCTGAATTTAGAAGCCAGAAGTTTCTTGCCAGCAGTACTACCTTGTTTCACAGTTGGGGAAACTGAGGCCTGACAGGTTAAGCCCCTTCTCCAAGGTCGCAGTGCTAGAAGCAGAACTCAGTTTGGCAGGTTTTGTCCATTTTTGCTTTGTTTTCCCTACTGCACATGGGCACCACTCTGGAGGTGAAAAGGCAGCAGCCTCAAAGGCAGAAGAGCTTGGTACATTACCAAACGTGTCGGACTGCCCACCAGGCTGGAGGTTTTAGAAAATATGTCCTAGGGAAAGATGGAAGGAGTCGGGGTGGCCGCCAGTAGAAGCAAGCAAGGACAAATTATCATAGACTTGTCTGGAATGTGTTGCTATAAAAAAGGTGATGAAGTGTTCCAGCTTCCCAGAGATCCGGTGCAGTGGAAATGAACAGGGAACAGAAGAGATTAGGGTTAGATTTAAGGCAGTACTTTCTCCCAGGGATGATAATGGGGCCCTTTATTCAGTGACCAAGGCAGGCAAGGGACTCATCCCCCTCCCACTTCTGAGGCCTTTGGGAATCCATCTCCCTCCAGTCCCACATGGCCTGCTTGGAGGTCAGGAACGAATTAGATGACTTTGAAAAGTCCCCGCTATTCAGGTAGGCGATCCTTTCCCTGGATGGGCCTCCTGGGCTCTTTGCTGAGGGTAAGGACAGCAGCCGCTCTGGCTCCAGGGCCCTGGGGGAGAAACAGCAGTCATGGCATCTCTTGCAACACGCTCCCTGCCAAATTGATTCAAATTGGCTTGGATATGAACATATGATTAAAGGAGCGGTGCGATTCATTTATCAGGAGAGATTAAAGAACGGCATCTGCGCAGCCTAGCTGGGGGACAATTAAGGAGCAAATCGCTAAGTGTCTGTGCCACCAGGCAAGGGGGTGGAGGATGGGGGAAGGACAACTAGGATAATGTGCCAAGGAGACACAAAGACAAAAGAAGACCATTTAGGGGTCACTGCCTGCCACTGTTGTTTCTGGGCACAGACTGGGCACCATGGGGAGTCCCACAGGGGCACTGGTTCCCCGCCCCTGCCTCTCATTCAGGAGTCAGAGCAATCCCGGGGATCTGCAGTTATAGAGGAGGATCTAGCAGGCTGGCTTTGAGCCTGGCAAAGGGCCAGATTTGCATTCTGCAACATCTTAAGGACCAGGGATACCATGAACATACAGGTAAGGTCAACAGCAGAGCTTTCAAGGTACACCCAAAATAAACATTGGCTTTGGTGGCCCTAAAGGCTCCTGGACTCCTCTGGGGCCAAGGGAATTGTCTCCTTCTCAGCTGAAACTTGGAGAAGCACTGGTCATGTGACAATGCACAGCCAGCCTGTGGCATGTTCTACCACCACCTCTCTTTCCTTGCCCCAGGACCTTTGCTTAAACTCTTCTTCTCAATATGCCTTTCCCAGCAACTCTACCTGTGGAAGTGCTATTTTCAAGTCCCTATCAAAATAGCAGCTCCTTTTAGAGGCTTTCCCAATCCTTCCCGCCAGAGAGAGTATCTCCCTCCATAATAAGTCCAAAGCAACTTCTTTGTCCTTGTTAGGCCTTATGTAATTATTTCCACATGGGTCTGCTCCAGCCCTCATCCACAAATCCCTGGAGGATGGATACTATGACGTGTTCCTCTCTACCCACTCCAAGCTTACACATACTAGCAGGTGCAGCATGTATTTTGTGTCTACCTCCCTCCACTTTATGAAGGAAGGGACCTTACCCATCACCAGCACCCAAAATAGGGCCTAGGCACAGCAGGCAGTCATGAAATATTTCTCAACTGTTAAGCAAATGAATATGTTTTCTGACTTGAACAAAGCTTTTTACCCCAGGCCAGGTTATTGGAGGTTGATGTTGGAGTTTCCAGTTAACCAGAGGCTTGACTCAGAATGAGCGAACAGATTTGGGCATTCATCTAAAGGTGGCAGGGAGTTTGTCACACTAGTTCCTAGTAGAAACAGAAAATGTACCACGCTAAGTGAAAACAGGAATAAAAGATGAGAGTGACAGAACTGAACATAAGCTAGCAGCCTTTTTAAAATTATTTTTTTGTAAAAAAAAAAAAAGTAACTTAGGCCGGGCACAGTGGCTCACGCCTGTAATCCTAGCACTTTGGGAGGCGAGGCAGGCAGATCACCTGAGGTCAGGAGTTCGAGACCAGCCTGCCCAACATGGTGAAACCCCGTCTCTATTAAAAATACAAAAATTAGCCGGGCGTGGTGGTACATGTCTGTTAAGTCCCAGCTACTCGGGGGGCTAAGGCAGGAGAATCGCTTGAACCTCGGGAGGTGGAGGTTGCAGTGAGCTGAGATCACACCACTACACTCCAGCTTGGGCAACATAGCAAGACTGTCTCCAGAAGAAAAAAAGTAACTTCCCTTTTACTATTGTCTCTATCCTCTTCTCTATTCTATCGTGGGGCAGTGAAGGGGGCAGTCTCCGTTCGAGACGAATCCACTTCACACTCTGTCCCATTCATTTTGGGGGAGACTTTTCTCCCTTCTTCCCTTTTGGACTCTTTCTGGAGGGCTGACATTACCAGAGCCTTGGCACTTGGGCTGTTTGCTATCTTTTCCCACCGATCTGTCCAAACTACTTTATTCATTCAGGGATTATAACTGGCCACATTACAGAATGAGAAGGTAGAAGGTAGAAGAGGAGGAGGGGTGTCGTTTGTTTCTTGCCTTTCTGCATGAGCTGCCTCTTAGCTGTCAATGAAGGAACAAAGCACGGAGTGGGGCATGAAGATAGGAACTGAGCAGAGCAGAGACAGTACTCCCAACCTACTCAGGTTGCCCTGTGGGCCTGAGCTAGTTCTGCCAAGTTTTGATCAAAAAGTCACCTTTGAAATGGCTAAAATTAAGCTTTTAAAAAATGTTCTAATGAGAAGGGCTTGAATCCAAAAAGAAAGAAAAAGAATGAACGAATGAATGAAGCGAGAGAAAGAAAAGAAAGAAAAAAAAGAAAGAAAGAGAGAGAGGAAGAGAAGATAGAATCTCTGTAATTGGTGAGATTTAACAATCAGAGGGACCTCAACATTCCCTTGTGGAGGCCAGGGAGGATGAGGCTTGGAGGCTCTGCTACCCTTGCTAACCTGAATCACAGTCCCTAGGCTCTTTACATAAAAGGTGGGGCTTGTGTCTTCCTTGGCCAATCCCCTCATCCCACTACCTCTGCCTGCCCCAAAATGAGCTGCCCAAGCTCTTTAACTGGCACTGGTCTGACACTTTGGGGAGCAGGCCAGAGACCAGAGTGATGCCCTCACAGTCCCCATCAGAATCCCACCTCTGCCCACTCGCCCCCAGGACCAATCTGGACTTTACCTGAGCCTGAAGGAGCAGGCAGGAAAACTGGCGAAGCCAGGAGGAAAAGGGCCTTTATTTCATACATCGGGTAAACAGGGGAGAGCACAGCCCAGTGAGTACAAACCAATTGCAGGAGAGAAGAGGGGTGGCAGATGGGAGCAGCACCAGGCACTGCCCTTGGGCTCCCAAGTCTGGTGGAGTTGTTAGGGATAACCTTTTTAGGGTGGGGGCTGGGACCTCCAGACCACATGGTGTTGTGTCTGGGGTAAGTATGTGGGGGCAGGGAGGTTGGAAGAAGAAGAATGACATGGGCTCAGGACACAGAGTGAGGACTCATGTCTAATGGCCACAACTTCCATCTTCAGTTTTTCTGATGACAAGCCCTCAACCCCAAGTCTTCCCTCTCAAGTTGAGTTTATGGTCCAGGCTACCTGGACAGAGCGGGAGGGAGGCAGTGCTTGGATCCGCCCTGAACTGCTGTAGTTGGAATGGGTTTATCTTAAATAGGTCATTGCACATAACACGCTGAGACAAAGAGGGTGGGGTGGGGGCCGAAGGTGTGGATGGTCCACACGCACACTTGTCTGTATAGGCTTGCTCAACCCAGCCCAGCAGTACCGGAGAGCCCCTCCTGACCTCATTCTTAAGAACCTGGACCCGGCTCTGCTCACCAGTGTCTCCAGCTGCACAGAGAAAGGACTGCTCTCTCAAGGGTGAAGATGGAGATGACATTCCCGAGTCATTCTTGGGAGCCCCAGCTACCCCTGCAGCCCCCTCCCACTCTCAGGGATGGAGCTGTGATGGAGAGGTTGGGTATTTAAATTAAAAAGTAGAAAGACAGCAGGCACCAAGAAGAGAGCCCCCACCCCACACGAGAGGGAAGGCATTGCTGCTCCTCCCCCAATCCTCCCCATGGACCCAGCAACCTAGAATGTCCCAGTAGGCAACCTGTCCACCGTCCCTGAGCAGGGAGCTGAGAGGGAGGTCAATGTGCTGGCGCCATGCAGTGCCAGGCCACCTGCCATTGTCCACGGTGGCCCAGGGTAGAAGCCAAGAATCTGGCATTTTGAGGCAGAGAGGAGCAAAAAGTTCTCTTCAGAAACTCCTCTTTCCCCCACCTCTTCCATGTGGAGACATCAGACACCCATAGCCTGGAAAGTCCCCCTGACAGAAGGAGGTCAGGGTGTTTCCCATGCAGATCCGCAGTCGGGCGGGGGAGACCGGTGCCCCACCACTTCCTGGGAGTGGTGCCCAGGCAGCCACAGGCCGTGGGGTGAAAGGGCTGCGAACTACTCCCCTGGGCTATTTGTTAGTCTCCGTCAGCTTGGCCTCTGTGTCGCTGTCACTCAGATAGCTGTGGGAGTATCGGGGTCTGGAGGTGTTGTTGAGAGGGTCGTGCTCATCATCTGACCGGTCAGGGGCAAGGGACTTCCAGTAGCTGGTGGGGCTGCAGGGACAGAGGAATAAGGTTAGGGACAAATGACACTCCTCCATTAAGCACTCATGCCTTTGGTTCTGGAGGCCCACAAAGCTGCGTCAGAGCACTCCCCAAAAGCCAAACATTGTGAAGTAAAAACCTTCCTTGGCTTACTTGGAAGATAAAGCGGTAAGAGGAAGGCGACTCTGGAAGCTTTTAAAGCTCCGAGGAAAGGGATGCCAAGAGCAGTGAGTCTCGGACTCAAGCGTGCGTAAGAATCTGATGCAGGCTCCTGGGCCTTTCCTCTTAGAAACCTTGAATCGCTGGCTCCTGGGTACAACCCAGGAATTCTGCATTTTCAGTCCTTCCCCAGAAGGCTCTGAAGCAGGCAGTCCATGAACCACATTGGCCTGGAGACTGGAGGTCTGGTGATTACTTGTCTAGGGTAGGGACTCTCTTAGGCGAGTAATTCCTAAAAAGATTCCTTCTGAGAAGGAGGCCCTTTCCCCGTCAAATACTCCTGGATCTGAACCGTTTCCCCTGAGGCCTGTGAGGATTTTTACCTTTGACCATGCCATCATCTACTAACAAGAAATGGAGGCTCAGGAAAGAGAGGCTGGGAAGACCTGTTTTAGGGTGGCCCAAGGGGAAAAGCCCCTTTCTTGGTACAATAACATAACTCAGAGTCTTCATCAGGCCACTGGCTCTGGAGGCCTCCAGCTATCCCGGATGTGAAGAGGCCTCTTCCCCCGGATGGAGCAGGATCATGGCACTGAACAGGGAAGAGGAGACCTCATCTCACAGCTCCATTCACCTTCTCTTTTCTCCCAAAGCCTTGGGACCACCTTTCCCTACTCCTCCTGCCTCCACTGCCTCTGTTGGTTCAAGTGCACTCTCGTTTCAACACCACTGGAGAAAACACAGCCCAGTGTGGCTCCTCTCCTACTGGTGCCCCACACTGAGCGTGGTCTCTGGAGCTGCAGCCCTGCCTCCAGATCCTAGGGTTCCAACTTGGGCAAGCAGGAGTTCCATGTTCCCTGCTGCCTATAATTCTGACTTAAGAAGCGAAAAGCGCCCTTTGTTTACTAGCCCTTTTAAAGTTCTAACCCCAAACCAAAAGAGGAGTCGTCAAGGTTCTGCAGAAAGAACCTTCTTCTTAGCTTTTCCCAAGGTGGCAGTGAGAGATGCAGAGGGCAAGATTTGGTCACTGAGCACTCCTCTGTGTAAGACACGGCCTAGGCATGTGAGATGGGCTATCTTATTGTTCACAATAACCCTATGAAATATTATGAGAAAGCCAGTAAAAAAAAGATGAAAGGATCTTCCTCAAGGCCACACAGCCAGTATGTAAACTTGAATCTGGGACTCTTAGACCTCAAAGACTTTGGACGACTTCACCCTGCCAGCCACTCGATTGGATGACCTGAGAGGAAAAAAACACACACACAAGACCAAACCTGAATTCTCCTGCTGGCTTGGGCGAGAGCCCAGGGGTTGTATGAAGAGATGTCGGTCTCTATCCCTGGGGGAAAGGAAGAGGCTGATAGAATACATGTTCAATTATGCAAAATGGTTCAGGAATGGGGCAGTCTGGTTAATACTTATCATATTTCTCATGAATGAATTACCATTTTTAAAGGAATCAGGATAGCACAAAACACATTTAACACAAACTAGACTGAACATAAATGAGTCTTACTTTGATAGGACAAAGTATAGACCTATCAAATTAAGGACAAAATTATAAAGCTCACTGATGACTGTGTAACATAGAAAAAAATTGGGGTTATTTTAGCTTTGGGGTTGTTTCAATTCTAAATTAGTGGGAGCCTGGTTTGGTTCTCATTTTTTACATGAAATTTCTGGGCACTCAGGGCTATGGTCTGCAGTTAGGCTAACGAGCGCCTGGCTTTGTGGAAAGACAGTGGGGTTACTTTGTGAGCAGAGGGGGGTGAGACAGATGCCAGGGCTAGAATCCAGATGCAAATGAGAGGCTGCTGGCGAGCTCTGAGGTGCTGTAAATTGCTGAATCAGGGCCCTCTGGTCCTTTCCATTGCCTCACCTCTTTTTAAGGTGGGGGTTCCACTCCCCAAGCCCACATTCCTGTGCCAAGTAGGCAGACACCTGGATAAATGACAGCCAGGTTTCCATACTGTTTCATCAAGACGCTGGGCCGTGGCAGAGGCTGCTGGGGAGGTGGTAAACTCCATGTCTCTCTCTGCCTTGGGCTGCGGACACATGAGATTGCCCTTGCCTGTAGCTTGGGTGATCGTTAGCCATTCTTAGTTGGCTTCCACTGCTCCAGCCATCAGGGAGTCAACAGCAGGCAGCTGCCCTCCTCTCCAGGGCAAGAGTCAGGGTTGGCAATTTGAACATTTTAACCAAATTGTTTAAAAAAGCCTTCCTCCCCACAAGCCAGTGCCTCCTGCTCAGCGCTGTCACAAACAATTTGGTACATAAGCTAATTCCCGCCAGGCAAGCCCAGAGCGGCAGCTCCCCTCCCTTGAATGTGCTATGGAAGCTGCGTTCCTGTTGTAAATTCTTGCTGGTCCTCATCAACAGATGGGAAGCTAAGAGACTGCTCCATCCCATGCCCCCACCCCAAAGCCAGTTGATGCTGAGCGCCACCGAGGTTCTCTCTCCCCAGGCCTTCTCCCTCTGGCTCCGTGTTGGTTGACTAGGTTCTGGCTTGGTGCCACTCTACCAACACTGAATCCAATCCTCCTTGGAGGGGGTGGTATACAGGGCGTCACAACGACTACAGCTTTCCTGGTGGAAAAGAGGAACTGTGCTCATGGCTGGTGGAAGAAACAGGCTTTTGGTCTTTTTGTTCTTGTTGGTTGTGGGGTCAAGGGTGATGGTGGGCTGATGGCATTGGGGTCTGAAATCTGCCAGTTGCCAGTCAGTGTGAGATGGCCCAGCTTTAGGCCCATGTCCATCTGGGGGTTGAGACGCAGTGTGCAAAAAGGCCTGGCCCTCTTTGCTTTCCAAACCTCTCTCCAGGGTCCATCAGCTGACTTCCTGCCCTAGGGGTGTAGGGCACTTAGCAGGGCTGCTAAGAGGAAGGCTGAGATGCCTGATCAAATATTTTGACTCTTGGCCTTTTTTTTTTTTTTTTTGAGATGGAGTCTCGCTCTGTCGCCCAGGCTGGAGTGCAGTGGTGCGATCTCGGTTCATTGCAACCTCCGAGCTTCCCGGGTTCAAGCGATTCTCCTGCCTCTGCCTCCCAAGTAGCTGGGACTATAGGCGTGCGCCACCACGCCCGGCTAATTTTTGTATTTTTAGTAGAGACAGGATTTCACCATCTTGGCCGGGCTGGTCTCAACTCCTGACCTCAGGTGATCCACCTGCCTTGGCCTCCCAAGGTGCTGGGATTACAGGTGTGAACAACCGCACTCGGCCAACTCTTGTCTTACTATGGAGCCAACACTGGTTCCCTAGTACAACAGAGATGCTTCCTGTTCCTCCTGGAGCACCCAGTAACCATCTGCTGCATGGGGGAAGTGACAGAGCAGGGCTGAGCCATTCCACTTGCTCCATTCCTTAAAAGGTCTTACATCAGTCCCTTTTGGTATAATGCATTCAAAGTCAGCCTAGGTGTCCAGCTACTCACAGCACAAGCATGCAACAGGTGTGTTAGTTCGTGCATCTGGGAGACAAATGTCTGTGCCCCAGGGGGTTGCACTCAGGGGTCATACCTCCTGGGAAGCAGCAAGTTTGCCCTTGGAGGGCACCATGCTGAAAACAGCTTCACATAAGCAGGGTGATCTAAAATGTCACCACCCACCAGGGAAACTGGCAACAATGGGATTCCAATGAGTCAGGCTCTGCCCTTCTTCCACGGTGGGGGTGTGGGCATAAAGGGCCTAACTGCTAGATCTCCCTCCCCACAGGGAGAAGAGCTGGGGGAGGCAGGAGAGCCAGGAGGGGGCTGTCACTCAGCAGCTGCTAATTTCTATTCATTAGAACCTTACAAGATGAGTAGAACCGAGGTGACGCCCATGTGTGGGCCTTTGGTGGGAGGGCTGGGGAGAGAGCCAGGCATCTCCTGGGTCTGCTGTAGGGTGTGGCGCTGTGTGGGCTGTAGCCCTGGGAGCCTTGTACTCCTAGGCTTGAGATCTATGCCAGAGAGGAAGGTAGCTTTGAGGGGGCAGGGTGGGGGAGGGAGAACTAAGCAAAAGGCCCAATAATAGCTTAGGGCCACTGATGTGCACCAACCACAGCTGCGGTGTCAGTTTGGGACCTTTCCTGGCCCCCAGCCTGTTGGGGCGATGAACGAAAGCTCCTGAATGGGTGCTGCTGGGCACACACAGTAAACATGTTGCCCATGTGCTCTGCACTGGCTGCGTGGAGGAGTAGGTAAGGGCAAGAGTGTTGGAGTTGGGCAGACCCCATTCAGACCCTGGCAACAACCCTTCCCAGCTGTGCGTGACCACATGGCAAGTGACTTAACCTCTCCAAGCCTCAGCTTCATCTTCTATGAAACAGGGCTACTCAGACCTTTGTTATGGAGTTACTGTGAGGGATGAGTGACTAAAGTGTGGAAGGTATTAAGGACAGTCCCTGGTTCAGGGTCTTGTAAGTGGGAGCTATGACATCAGCAGCGAGTTCGGCTGACGGGGCTCAGGGCTCAGGATGACTGACCAGCTTGGCTGGCCCCTGCATCAAGGCAGCCAGGAGGCTCTCCGAGGCCAGGCATGCCCGAGAGGAATGCGCGTGGGCCCTAAGGTGGCGGCCTGTGGGACAGGGAGTACGTTAGTTCACACCGGGTGGGACATGCCATGCTGAACCCAGGCCAGGTGCCACCTACTGCGCTAGTCGCTCTCGGGCCGGTACAGGTACCGCATCATCAGGCTGTCCACCTCCTTCTTGCGCTTCTTTTCCTCCTTCCTCGACAGCTGGTGCGTCTGCCCAGTCTCTTCACTTTCTGCAGCTGGGCCCTTCTTCACACTGGAGCGGCTGTGGCTGGAGACGGTCGAGCCGCTAGATGACGACGAGGAGGACTCAGACTCCGTCTCTGTTCTCTTTCTTCTCGACTTAGATTTCTTGCTCTTCCGAGAGCGCCCCTTCTTCCGCCTCTTGTGCTCCGAGGAAGCTTCGGAGCTGGAGCTGGAGCTGGAGCTGCTCCTTCTGCTCCTTCGCCGGCTCCGGCTCTTCCGGCCGCTGTGGGACCGGGACACATCAGCAGCAGAGGCGGAGCGGCGGATGCTGGCAGCTCGCTCCGGGGGGTCCAGTTGGGCGCTCCGGGCACTTTGGATGCTCTTCCTGTCATCCTCCTCGGAGTCGGGCTCTAGGCTGCTCCGCTGGAATGGCACAGGCTTGTAGCTCAAGACCTCGTTGATGGCAGCCTCCAGGTCTGGGTCCAGGTAGGAGTGACGGCTGACGGAGCGGACGCTGGAGCTGGGAGGCTCATCCATGGCCGAGGCAGAGCTGCGTGGCCGGGGTGGCACCGACAGACTGCGTGCCAGCGACGGGTGGCTGTACTGCGAGCAGGCCTCGCTCAGGGCCACACTGGCTCCGTCGTCCCATTCCTCTAGGCAGCTCCGGCCCAGGGACAGGCGGGAATCAGGGCTCTCCCGGCCTAGGCCAGAGGCCCGGCTCAGGGAAGGGCTGAGCGTCCTGGTCAGGCTGTCGAGCCGGGAGGTGCTGCGGCGGGAACCAGGCGAGCCCGACAGCGAGAAACTCAGGGAAGAGCCAGCCCTGTCCTCGCCAGAGCCCCGCCGCGTGGCCGAGGAGGCCCGGCTGACGGGTGCAGAGACGGTGGAGGCCCGGCTGAAGTCGGAACCCCACCGCTTCTCCAGCCCCCGGCCAGCGCGCCCCCCAGTCCCTGAGAGGACAGAGCCACACTCCTCCGGCTCCTCGGACTTCCTGCCCAGGCCTGGCTCCTCCCTGGGGCCCACACGGGCCTTCCTAGGGGGCCTCTCTGGGGAGGCCGCCCGCTCGCTGAGGGAGGTGAAGAGCGAATCCGCATCCCCGGTGCCCCCAATGGAGTCCTTCAAGGTGAGCCGCTTCCGATAGCTCAGGGAGCTCACCACCGAGGATGGCCTCTCCTCCACCCCTGAGGCCTCCTTAGAGAGGCTGTTGAGGGCCGTTCCGAGAGAGGGTGCGAGAACCAGCCGTGGATGAGGGCAGCAGGGAGACAGGGAGGTTGAGAGAGAGAGAGGAACAAGCATTAAACCCAGAGAATAAAGACACAGGAGGAGGGAGGCAAAAGGAGGAGAAAACGGCAGCAGCCCTGGCAAAGTGGTGGTGAGAGCGTCGGAGGAAATGAAGCAAAATAATTTGCGTCAGTGAAAATAGCTTCATGGAGAATGTCATGTAAATTAGACTATTGTTCTATTTCATCACTTTTCCCCCTCTAAACGTTTAGTTCAATTTATTTCATTGTCAACTACCTGGAGCCTTGTGCCACTCCGTGGTGAACCACGGCAGTGGGGCGGGGAAGCCGGCATTATCTGCAATAACAAAACGTTGTTTGGCCGAATAAATTAAACCAATTAGGGGGGGCTGCTGGGTGCTTCTGGTGAGGGGCCAGGCTTGGGGAAGGGGCCTTGGGGGAGCTGGAGAAGGGAGGGAGAGACGTTACTTTTTCAACCCAGTCTACCTGCTGTCTCTGGGAGAGGATGGGGAAGGGTGTGTCCTGGAGGATCAGGATGGCCTTGAGTTGGGGGTCGGGATTCTATGTTGTGGGGGGAGCAGGGATATGGCTTTATGGGGGTGGTTGGGGGTGGGGGTGAGGGCTGTTCTTTCTCCCTGCTGCCACACTGGCCAGTAGGAAAGAGATGGGGAAGGGGAAGCTCTGGATTCCAGGGGTAGCTGTCTGTATGATCAGAGGACTATGACTGGCTAGAAAACAGGGGAGCACATTCCCCCAGTGGATGGGTATTAGGAGGAAAGAAGTGGGGGCAGTGAAGAGATTAGAGGAAGGAGAGAATGGGCAGAAAAAGACAGAAATGTGCCTGTAGCTGGAACTGGTACAAGAATCAGTGGAACTGGTGCCTCTTCTGCTGTTATCCATGGTAAGATGTCAGAGATCCAGAGCTGGCCAGGGCTGTGGGATCAAGAGTCTCCTGTGCCCCATCCCAGTCTTGATTCCAAGGGTCTGAACTATCAGGAAGCTTGATCAACATTTGTTAAATGAACAAGCAAAGGTGACATTTAACCTACACCAAACCAAAGCTTGGAGCCTAATGGGAAAACATTACCTGGGAAAAATAAGGGCAACACAGCCCTGGCTAAGAAGAAACTAAGCCTCTTCCTGTGCCCACGCACATGCCAGGAGCATGCCCGGGCTGCAGTCACAAATGCCAGGCAAGAGACGCAGGCCTGCCCTCATGAGATCCAGGCGGTACTTGTCCATTCCTTGTGGCATGAGATGGGTTTTCCTCCCAGCTCAAGGCCATATGCTCACCTGGAACTCTTTAAGCTGCCATCATCAGAAGCTGCCTTGGAAGGTCCCTTGTTTTTTGACAACCAGGACTTGACCCCGTCGACCCGGTCCTCCAGCTCCGAGTCCACATCCGAGTCTCCCTCACTGTAGGGATGAGGAGCAGAAAGGTAGCAAGGCCAGGCAAGGGATGGGCACCTGCTGCCCACAAGGGGAGCAGAGGCGGGTGCGGGGGGTGTCTTGGGCAGGGGGGATGTGGGCAGCATGCGCGTCAGTGAGTCGGGGGAGAATGAGAGGTTAGACAGAGCACACCATTCACAAGGAGCCTGTCCCCACTCAGCAGCCACACTGTGTGACAACCACCAAGAAGACCCTGAGGAGCATGGAGGCAGCTCCCAAGCCAGTTATCTGTGACAGGCCACTGTTCAGCTGACCAATCCAAGGAGAATGACTTAAAGACCATCCACTCATCAATTTCAGCTAAATGGCTCTGAGCTAAAAAGAGGAGCCCTGGGTCCTTCAGTGATTCCTTGAGGCCTACTCTGCTGTTTCTTTTCTGCCATTCTTCAGATTGTGGCCATAGCTGCTGTCAATTTCCATGCCTTTGTTACAAGAGCTGGGCTGCCAACCACAGAGCAGGAGAAGAGAAGGGCTTCGTGGGATTTGGAGTTAGCTTGAACCTGGAGGTCTCCTTAGCGGATGGCTCTAGGTTAAGGAGGCACAGGCCATATCGCAGATCCATCCTGTGGCTTCTCTGGCTTTTAAGAAACAAAGGAAAAGGGGTGGGGGGCATCGGCATTTCCAGACGGACTAGCAACAGTTTCAGTATCTAAATTGTCTCTGGAGACCCAGTTGGGCTCAGAAAGTCCCAGACCAGAGCCCTGTCACTCAAGGTCTCCTCTTCCGTCCTCAGGTAGCCCCCAGCCCTGGCTCACAAGAGCTTCATCTGGCAGAGCTGACCTTAGCACTTGCAAGAAAGCCCAGAGGAGTCCAATTCTGAGGCTGGAGTCATGGCCCTCCCTTCATGAAGCAGCTGGGCTTGGAGATAGCTTCTGAGTTAAGATTGCTTCTAAAATTCTGCAGAATGTCTGCTCACCAAGTTGCCCTGCTTTGTATAGGCTAGGCTTTCTCCTTGATATAAATTTCCTTTCCTCTGTGTCAACAGGAATGGCTCCATTCCTGAATTATATTCTTAAATAAATAGCCACACAGGCATGTGCACACACGCACACACATATGAAACCAGCAGACTGTTCTGGGGACCGTGAGAGAGTCCAACTCACGGAGAGGGGAATAAAGAGGCATATTTTATGGGCTTCCATCAAATACAGAATTATAACAAAGACGAGGCCGGCTGATGCCCCGGGTAAACAGGAGTTTAGCAGACAGCCTCGAAACTGCTAATGCAAACCCTGTGCCTGTCCGTGCCTGGCAGATTTACTGTGGTGCATGGGCCCCATGGAACGCCAATACCACCTGATTTATACACCCGTGCAAAAAACCTCCCTCTCTAGCTTCAGAGCCTATAATTTATCACCACCGTTCATAACCATATTGATTGCCTTTAGAAAGGAGGTGCTGTATGCATCGCAAAATCTATGTCTACATGTTAAAAGCGTTTCTGTGTAAATCTCCCTTAATACTGTGCTGTTTACTGCTTTCATTAAGGTTATAGCAATAACAACTGTATCTCTAAGTAAATCGAAACATTATTTTTCTGCCCGCCTTAGTGTGCTGGGCTCAATAACTTGGAGCTGGGGCCCAGAGCTGCTGAGGAAGGAGCCACACCACCTCTCTGCCATCAGCCGGAACCTGGTTAGAGCCGCACGTCCCCATGCGTCTACGTGAGCGCACACCGGCATGTGCGTGTGTGTGCGTGTGCAGTGTACCTGTGTGTATGCGTGCCTCGCAGTGGTTTAGAATATGATCTTAAACGCGCATTTTATCAGCCCTTGAAGCTCTTACCACCCAAAGATGGCAGGGTTGAAACACACAGGGGATAGACAGTTGTGGGCTCAGAATACGAATTTTCCTCCTCACATTCAGAGCAGTGGATGGGCTGCAAAGCTGGCCTGCCTGCCCTTGCCTTCCCTTTAGTTGCAAGCATCTAGAAGATGGTCTTTTCCTTAAATAATAAGGCCCGTAAACAAACTCCAGGGGCAGGCAGGCTCAGGGGGCAGTTGAAATTTTAAATGGTCGGAATTAAACTTTGCGTCAAATGCAATTTATGTCCGGGCTCATGTGCTATTAGTTAACTGGGAGCCGAATCGCGGGGGAACAAACAAACGGAGACAGAATGGCGGGGGATATTAATTGTGTGTGACAACCAGGCTCCAGCGGCCCTCTATCACTGTTACACACTATTACATTTATCATTAGCTCTCACGGAGTCCTGTGCGCTGCCACCAGCCCATCCTGGCCAGCGGAGGGGGCCCACCAGGCAAGAGAGAGTGGGGGAAGAAATCCAATGCCATGCTAAAAAAACGACCTCCGAAAAACAACCCTGTCGAACTTGACGGAGGATCAGCCCCGCTCTGCCTGAAGGCCTGCACATCTGCATCTGCTGTCCAGCTCCCACCCAGATAGCGGGAAAAGAGAGGGCTGGATTTCCTGGGCTTCCCGCCACCTGACAGACAGCATCAGCACAAGCGCCCGCCCGCCCGCCGGGGCCTCCCTCTGCCCACGGTGCCGCAGGGAGTAAAGTAAACACATCTGGCTGTGTTCCCTTCCCCCGCCATGGCGAGCAGCCCATGATTAGCTGCCTGAATGCTTTCTCCAAACAAGAAACTGGGAGATGCCCCTCACCTTCTACCCTTGTCTGCCAAGAGAAGGTGGTGGACCTTTAAAGATGAAACATGCCTGCTTCTTTCAGGCAGCTCAGGCTCCCAAGGAGCCCAAGGATGTGGACAGATCCAGCCCAAACAGACTTTTCTCCCAGAGAAACAGGCCAGGGAGGTGGCCACACTTGGTTTTTAAGGGAGGAAAGTGCTGGAGCTCAGGAAGGTAAACTTCTCGAATAGGCTGCACTTTCCTTTCTGCAGGAGCCCCCAATCCTGCCCACCAAGGGTGCACAGGCCAGCCCCAGCCTTCTGGGGAGCACACCTCATTGCCCGCTCCCTGCCTCCCCTGAGGATAGAGTCAGTGTTAGCATTAGAGAACAGTGAGGCAGGAGTGTGGGGAGGCTGTATCCACATGCTGCGTGCAGCGGCCCTGGGGTGGGAGCCAGTGTTAGGGGTGGTTAGACACCCGCGAGGACAGGCAGAGAGCACATGCGCTCCAGTCCTCACAGTTTATTCTTTCTTTTCTGATACTTTGTCACCATGTCCTGCAAACTGGAAATAGAAGGAAGATGGTGGGCAAGGGGTCCAGAGGAAACAGACGAAATCAATGGACAACCCCAAGGTGGACCCCTTAGCCAAGGACCTCTCTTCCCTCAGCAAGTGCCAGCTCTGGCTGGCTGAGACCAGGTAGGGGGGGTTGCGTGATAGCACTGTCCTCAAAACCTGATCTGGGCTGCCTCTGGCACCTCTCCCTTGCCCCAAAGCAGCAGGCTCCCTGCGCTGCCCCAGACCTGCTTGCAGGATGGGCCCCAGCCCTGAGGTGGAAAGCAGGCAGGTCTAGGGTCTGCCTAGGGCAGCCTTGGGAGCTTCTCCATGGCCTGGCGCCACCCCACACTGCCGGCCTTCCTTCTTCGTGACTGTCTCCTCCGCCTAAGACTACAAATCTCTTTCTCTCCAGACCATTCCCTGGGTGGGTTTTATGAGAAAATCTCTGGCATAGTAACAAGGCACCACAGCCTTTAAATCTCTGCCCTCCCCAGAGTGGAGCAGGCACCATCGGAAATGCAGCTAAACAGAGGAATAATTCATCTTGAGCGGGCAGAGCTGGAGGGCCTGGTCCTGGGGAGGGGAGACTGGCTGGGGGGCCTCAATCAGGGTGCACCTGTCTCACCCTCTGCCTCTGCAGGACAGGCTGTGCTGGGGTCTGGCAGTAAAGGGAGGGTGGGTTGGTGGCTCGCTCATGGGGAAGCAGAGGATGCAACTGTTCTACCTGGTGGCCTGGTTCCAGAGGCAGTCAAGAGGGCCTCCGTGCTGGCTGCAGATGCCCCAGAGGCCACCTCTCACCTGTTGATGAGGTCCTCATTCTCATCACTCTCCATCTCATCCTCGATGGCGGCCTGCAGGTCCCCGATGCGCTTGAATGCCAGCTTTAGGTCAGCCTGCAGGCTCTGGTTAGCAGCCTCCAGGCTTTCTAGATCCATCTCCTAGGAGGAAGCGGGCAGCCCAGTTTGCAGGAGGGTTAGCTTCTTCCCCAGATGACCAGAAAAAGCCTGCTTCAAGTCCTTCCCGGTCATAGGGGTGCTACCCAAGGGCTGACACAGGCTTCCAGAGCCTTTTCCGCTCTGCTGCTGCTGGGCTGTGGGGGCCAAGCCTCACCTGAGGAAGCCTCCAGTGCCATTGGCTCCCTGGTCTGGCCTCCTGGTATGCTCCTCCTCCCTCTCATTCTCTGACTCATGTGCAGTTTCTTTGCACCCTATCCCCAACCAGGCCAGAGTGAGGCGCACACTCAACAGCTTGTCAGGGGGCTGCCATGTGGGCCCTGTGGGGGACAGGAGGGCATTACCAGTTCGTGCTTCTTGCGGCTGGCCTCGGCCTCCTTCCTGGCAAGCTCGCCCATCTCCTCCTTGGTGTCCCGGAGCTGCCTCTGTAGCCGCTTGTTCTGTTCCTTCTCCCGGTTCTCGGCTGCAGTGCGCTGATCCCGCTCCTCAGTAAGCTTCTCCATGTTTTCCTTGAGCCGGCTAGCCAGGCTCTGGACAGGCAGTTGGGGAAGAAAGACACAGCATGTAGGCCCATCAGTCAGGCAGAGGGAGGGTGTGGCAGAGCTCTGGGTCAGGAGGCCTGGGGTCAAGCTCTGGCTCCACCATTCATTGGCTACCTGGGCAAGCAATCCCAAGGCTTCCCTTGCTTTTCTGTAAAATGGGGTGAGAATAACACCTACCCCCCAGGGGTCTTCTGAGGATGAATAAGGTAATGAATATGAATGCACTTTGAAAGATGAAAGGTGCTATTATCATTATTACTACACCAAGACTGAAGGAGTGTTCTGGGTACAGCTTGGTGGGCCTGTCGGTATTGACACTGCATGTAGAGGCCTCTCAGGTCAGCAGGGCTTCCCGCAGGGACTCTGAACCCAGAAGCCCCAAAAGCTAGATCCTGTGCTCAGAGGTAAATGGCTTTGCTGGAGTTCTGGATTAGGAGAGACTAAACAATCATCAGATTCCAAGCAGAGAGCATCTCTCTAAGCCTAATGAATCTCCTGCCAGGCAGTGGGATGCTGAGCAAAAAATGACCTGGAGAGAGGGGCTGAATGTGAAGGAAGAACCCCGCATCTGCTTGTGATTCTGGTTCTACCTCTGACTGGGCCTCCAGCCTCTATATCCCTAAAATAACAGAGCCAGGCTGCAGGATTGGGCCATTCGTGTTTAACATCCTATGAGTCTAAACCACAAAACTCTCCGAGCAGAAGGGAACCTGAGGGATAGAGGTGCGGGAAGGGACTAGGCCCAAGAGAAAAGGAGACAAGTCCTGTGGGCCTGTCCTGTGTCCACCAGACTAATGGCCTCTTCTGTCCCTTGATAGCTTTGTGACCTTAGGCAACCTACATAACCCTTCCTATATGTAAAATGGGGATCAAAATATTATCAGCCAGCCTGGGGTTGGGGTGGGCAGAAAATACCTTCTTAAGTTTCCCCTAACTCTCTCCAGCTCTCCTGAGAACTGTGACCCTGCCTTGGGAGGGTCAGTTGTGCTCTCTTCCTGTGTCCAGGTTATTAATGCCCTCTAGACGCCCACCTGTTTCTATCCCTACCTAAGTGCCTGCTCCATGGACTGCGAGTTGATGGAGGAGGTGACAGGGCTGCCCCTCACCAACCACACTTATCAACACAGGGCCCAGACAGAACTGACGGTGCGGAGACAAAGGCTTATAAACTCAAAGAGAACTTAAAAATAAGGCGAGAGGAGTGTAAACCCAGGAGATAATCCTTTCTGCCTCTCTCTTGCTATCTGCTCTGCCAGAGATGGAAGGGGCTGGCCCATACTGGCTTTGGGAGACCAAAGGAAAAAGGATTGGTCCAGCGTGGTGGCTCATGCCTGCAATGCCAACACTTTGGGAGGCTGAGGCAGGCGGATTACTTGAGCCCAGAAGTTCGAGACTAGTCTGGGCAACAAGGCAAAACCCTGTCTCTGCAAAAAGTATAGAAATTAGCCAGGCATGGTGGCACATGCCTGTGGTCCCAGCTACACAGGAGGCTGAGGCAGGAGGATGGGAGGATTGCTTGAGCCCAGGAGGTCAAGGCTACAGTGAGCCATGATCGTGTCACTGCACTACAGCCTGGGCAACAGAGCAAAAAAAAAAAAAAAAAAAAATCTCAAAAAAAAACCTGCCTGTCCAGAGCCTGGCTAGCCGGCTCAAGGAAAACATGGAGAAGCTTACTGAGGAGCGGGATCAGCGCACTGCAGCCGAGAACCGGGAGAAGGAACAGAACAAGCGGCTACAGAGGCAGCTCCGGGACACCAAGGAGGAGATGGGCGAGCTTGCCAGGAAGGAGGCCGAGGCCAGCCGCAAGAAGCACTCAAAAAAAAAAAAAAAAAAAAAGAAGAAGAAGAGAGAATGAACTTTATAATAAAGGGAGAGGAGAATGGGATGGGAAGAGGGTAAGAAAGAGAAGTAAGATTGGGGAGAGGAAAAAATATCTCACGCCTGTAATCCCAGCACTTTGGGAGGCCGAGGTGGGCACATCATGAGGTCAGGAGTTAAAGACCATCCTGGCCAACATGGTGAAACCCTGTCTCTACTAAAATACAACTTTAAAAATGCATGTGCCTGTGGTCCCAGTTACTCGGGAGGCTGAGGCAGGGGAATCGCTTGAACTTGGGAGATGGAGGTTGCAGTGAGCCAAAATCGCACCACTGCACTCCAGCCTGGCAACAGAGTGAGACTCCGTCTCAAATAAAAAAAAAAAGAAAAAAGAAGGGAGAAGAAAGAATAGGGTCATAATCAAGAAAAAGGAAGAGAGAGAGAGAGAAAGCAGAGACAGGAGGGCAGAAGTGAGGAAGAAAGGGAATGAAGCAGGGAAGGGGAGAGGAGGAGAGAGAGGGCAGATGAGAGAACAGACTCCAGCCTGCACAGAAGTGGCACCATCCGCTGCATATTTATGACCCTGCCAGAGAACCGGTTGAGGGGAACAGGCGGGGGGAGCTCGTGGTGGAGGAAAATATGAAGACGAAGAGCTAAGCTGCTCTGGTCCCTTGGCAGAAAGCAAGCACGGAAACAGAATGTAAAGCAGGCGGGCTCCACGGTACCCAGAGAGCAGGCCAGGCGGGGCGGGAGAGAAGCACCTGCCCGTCAGCTGGCCTGGCAACGAGGCACAGGCCTCTGAGGAGTGTCCGGGGGCCTGCCCAGCCCTGCTGAGCATGCGCGGCTCCAGTGCTGGCGCAGCTCTGCCCTGTTTGGTGCGGCCCGGGAGAAGCGGGAACCCACCTCCAGCCGTTTCACTTGTGTCCTTTCAAACTCCAGGCGTGTCTCCAGCTCCCGTATCTTAGCTTCCTGCCTGCTCACCAGGGACTTGTCCACCATGGACTGCTCCAGGAACTCCACCTGGCTCTGGAGGGCTTGTAGCTAGAGGTGGAGGGCAAGAAGAGAAGAAAGAACTGAGCCCAGAAAGTGAGGAGGATACGTCTGGGGCAGGCAATATCACCACGGTGACCAGAAGGTGGGAGGGGTAGAGAGGGATGCACCTGGGAGGAAAGAGAATGGAGCCCTGGGCCAGAGGCCTCCCCCATCTGCCCTAGCGCTTGGCACAGATCTTGCCCTTCAGAGAGAAAGGAGAAAGCTAAGGACTGGAGAGGGAATAGAGATGGGAAATGAGGCAGGGGAAGCCCAAATGTCTGCTATGGTAACATGGCTCCAAGCCTAGCCCTTGCTCCTAGTTTATGTTGCTCTGTGGATTACTGATGGCAGAGAAAAGCGCCTTCTAAACTGTGAACTTGGGGGTTCCTCCCACACGTAGTGATCCTGGCACTCTCTCTCTCCCGAGGGAGCCCCTGGTCCTCACCTTCTCCTGCAGCTCCTGCTTCTCTTTGTTGGCCTCTTCTAGCTGAGCTTGGAGATCATTTATCTGAGCCAGGTCCCGGGAAGCCTGGGAAAGGGGTGAGAGCATCAGAAGCAGGATCCCCCATAAACATTCAGCCAGCCCAGCCCAGCTGGAACACCAGAGGACCGAAGTTCTCACTCCATCACCTCCCAAAACAAGCGGTTGTATGGGGGACCCATGAGGAGGACCAGAAGGATGATGGCGGTGCAGAGTGTGAGGGGCACTCCTGGCAGGGGTACCTGAGCCACGGCAGCCTTGTGCTTTTTCATCAATTCGTTCATGTCTTCTTGATCCTCCTCTAGCCGGTTCTGGATTTCATTCTTCTCACGCTGAAGGCGGCTCAGCTGCTCCTCCAGCTGGACAGAGGCAAAGACAGATCAGAGGGCCTTAGGCCCAGTGTGCCTGTGGGTTCCAGCTGCCTCCAATGGTGGGGGCATTGTAGAGATGATAATGGGCTGAGTCTGCCCGCTGGGGTGGGTCCCAGGACCAGTGATGCTCAGGAAGCTGCCTGTCCTGCTCCGGACCAGGGAGATGAGGGAAAGGGCTGTGTGCAGTACAGGCAGACCCCAGGCCTCTGAGCTGAATGACAGCTGCTTCCTGGCAGCTCCTTTGAGGCTAATGAGAAGGCAGAAAAGGTCTGCCCAGAACAAATGACCCATCATCCTGGCACTATCAGTCCAGGCCCTGCCTGCGTGTACTCTGCCCCCTTCAGGCCCCAGGGAAGGACCCCTCAAGTCTGCGAAGGTCTCCTGGCTTAGATTCTCATTTCCCCTGGGACTGCCCACTCCCTGGGCATCCAGCCCCCACAGCCAGTCCCCTCCTTGGGGGAGGGGAAGAGAGATCCAACAGCAGCTTCAGGAAATGAATGAATCTATTAGCCTGTAATTCCAAACCAAAATGACTGTGTTGGCTCCTTCTCTGCCCCATCCATCTTGTTACTGGGCTGTGGGGAGCTGGGGAAGCCTCCGCCAAGAAATTTATTAACTCAGATTTAAATAAAATGGTAATTTTATAACAACCTTTTTTAACACAATTAAGGAATTTGAATTACTCACCTGAAAACTGCTGAGGAGCACAAATGTCATGGGGATAAATCAAGCCCAAGAGGTTGGCATCTCTCAGCAGCTAGGTGACTAGCTCAGGGGCCATGAAGCCACTAGCCCAGCCCAGCCTCCTCCCCTGCCCCATTCCCTGCCCAAGGAGGTATTGGTGGCCACATCCCAGTAATGAATTCTCTGCCGATGGATGGGCTGTGGGAGAGGTGGGGAATTAAAAAGGAGGCATTAAATAAGAGCTCTAATTAGCTGCCGCTTGGGCTTGTCAGTGGGCTGGGCAGGGGGAAGGGGAGGGAAGCCAAGCCATCCTGTCCTCTTATCGGTGCTTCTGCTAATCTCTAGGCACCTGTTTATGTCCCTCAGTCACATTAGATGCCTTTATTTATGGTGTTGGGGCCTGCGGCCAAGCTCCCGCAGGCAGGTGGTTAAACAGGGAGATGGGCCCTTGCTGGCTCCCTCTTCTGCCCGCTCCTCCCCGAGGCCTCTGCTCAGGGTGGGGAGACGCAGAGCAGGGGGGCCTGCTCTTCCTGCAGCAAGTCCTGGCATGAAAGGACTCGTCACAAGTCCTGACGTGGAAGAACCTGTCTGGGGTGAAGGGAGCCACAGAGGCAGCTCTATTCTGCCTCAGCCCCCCGAGCTCTGCCCCAGGCACCCTGGCCCCTCACCACTGTCTTGGCTTTGGCGATGTCATCAATCTGCAGGTGCAGGTCTTCAATCTCTACCTCCATTGCTTTCCGTGCTTTCACGGCTGCCGCACAGGTGAACTCTGACTCCTCCAGCTGGACAGAGACCACCCCCGCCCCAGAGAAAGATGTCAGTCATTCCCTGGGGGCAGGAGGGCTGTACAGGGAAGAGTGAGCCCAGATGCCCTCCTTATCCTCCTCCATTCACTTCAGACCCCAGGGCCATGGCTGTGTGGTGGTGCATGCGTGGGCATCTCCTCCCGTGACAGGGCTGGTGGGCACCAGGCCCCATCCACACCACCCTGGGCTGGGCGGTGAGACAGTAAGGCACACGCAGGGCCTGGGGAGTCTAGCTGCTACATGTGGCTTTCCCCTCTATCCTGTCACTTTCCTTCCCAAGGACTCACGAGCCACTGAGAGGAGTGAGAGAGAGAGAAAGAGAAAGGAAAAGGTAAGCTCTGTTGCGCCTGGATCAGCCATGTGCTCTCTGGGGATACCTGGTTCTTGAGCTGGGCAATCTCTCGCTTGCTGGGAGCGCTGTTCTTCAGGTGGTCCAGCATGAGCTGGGCATCCGCCAGCAGGGCCTTGGTGCGCTTCAGGTCCTTCCGCAGCCGCTTCTCTGACTCAAAGTCCCGCCGGTTCACCTGGGTGGGCACCAGCAGTTGGGGTTCTGGGCTCCACACAGGGCCTCCTCCTATCTTACCCAAGCCCACTCCTCCCCACGTCCTCATTATCAGTGTCCCCATAAGGATCCTGGAAGAGCCAGGATCATGCCAACCAGTGGTAAAGGGCTGGGTGTGCCAATGTATGGTGATGCCTCCATCGAGGGATGATGATGGGCTCTTTGCAGCACCCCCATACCCCTGACAGCTCTGTTCCCGGCTCCCCATCCCTAGGATCCCCACTCCTCAGGCTGCATGGGCAGGTAGCTGGCCAGGCTTGGCAGGTGGAGCGTCCCCTGACCTGGTCGCTGAGGGTGGCGAGCTTGCCCTCCAGCTCCCGCTTCTCTCGCAGCACCTTCTGCTTGTCCTCATACTCTTCCTCCAGCTGAACCTCCATCTGTTTTAACTGGAATACCATGGGGACAGAGACCCGTCCATCCCTTTAGTACCTGGTGCCAAGCAGGCCCCTTTGGTTCTGGGTTCCCCACTCCGGGAAAACAGTGGGGCAGGCCTGAGCACAGTGATATTGGCGGAGGGGTCAGAACCTAAATTTCAGGTTTCCAGCATTTCAAAGCAGCCTGGGAGGGCGAGGAGGGATGGCAGGCCACATGCAGTGGGGCTAGCCAAGACAGAATAGGATACCTCGCCACACAGTGGAGACCTATCCGGCCAGGCTGGCTGACTGCAGACAGCACCAGTACAGCGCAGTACAGCTGGGGCACAGGGGGCTGCCCCTGGCACAGAAAGCAGGGAGCGTTAGTTCCTCAGGGGCTCAAGTTTCTCTACAGACTCTGAGCCAATACATCCCTGCCAATGCCAGGATCCCGAGAGGCGCTTCCTGGCCCAGAATGACAATGGAAGACAATGTGGCTGAGGTAGGGAGGCAGAAAGCCCCTTACTTTAAAGTGGCGATGGGAAAAGGTGTTTACGCTAGACAGGTGAGTACTCAGATACCTTACCTTCTTCTGACATGACTGCCGGGCCTCCTCCACCTCCTCATCCCGACTCTCCATCTCCTTAGAATGGGTCTGTCTCATTCGCTCCATCTCCATCTCCAGACGCAGCTTGGCCTGGAGGTGGTTGGAGTAGGGTCTGGGTTCCCTCCCCAGCAATGCCCACCCCCTTCCCACCTGTGTGTGGCTCTCCCTAGGCTCATGGGCTGAGAATGTCCACCAGCCAGTTCCCTTTGCTGGCACCTTGCTCTCGTGGCAGCAGCTTCTCCAGAGCAGCTGAACTCCCTTACTAGTGGTCTGGCATAGGCCCAGAGAGAGGTAGCTGGGGTGGGGACAGTCCTGCAGCTTCTCCGTCTGCCTGCAGGCTCTAGCTGCCTGAATTGACTTGGTGGCTTGGTGGCAGGCTGGTTGGGCCTGTGGCCCTCAGCTGCCATGCATCCTGAGCCCTTCCCTACTAGAGCTCCATCAGATTTGTTTTTGTGGAAAGTTCCATGACTGCATCTTTATACTGTGGCTGGCACAGATCAGGTGCTCACTCCACATTTTATGAGTAGGTGAGTGAGTGAACACATGAATGAATGGAGGCAGGATCCTCTGGCCCATGCCTGAGGCTGGCTGTGGGGATGGTGGCACCCCTCCCTTGGCCAAGCTCTCCTGTACCTGTTCCAGCATCTGGATGGTCCCTGCCTGCTCATCCAGCTCTTCTTCCTGATCCTTGACTTTGGCCTCCAGGTCCCGGAGCTGTTTCTTGACCTTGGCCAGAGAAGCCTCATCCTTGGACTCTTGGGAAGAAATGTCCTGGAGCTCTGCCTCTAGAGACACAACCTTCTGGGTGAACCCTGCAATATCCATGTCTTTTTCCTGGAGCAAAAGAGATGAGGCTGGTGCAGGGCTGACCCCAGGTTGTGAGGGGGACAGGGCACAGACGGTGGGTGGCCCTACCCACCTCTAGTTGCTGCTTCAGGCTGAAAGCCTCAGCAAGGAGCATGTCCTTCTCCCGCTGCAGCTTCTCCCGCTGCAGCTTCTCCCGCTGGGCCTCCTCATGCGCCTGCGAGAGTTCACTGTCAAACCTGCAAGGCAGCGTGGCGGCTCTATCAGATGGGGAAGAGCCGGGGTCCCCCACACAGAGACTGTCAGGAGGTGGTGATATGGACAGGACCCAAGCAGGGGTGGGGAGACCCATGCAGCCCTAACGTGGGGCCAGTGGCAAGGTAGAGGTGACATTTAGAGGTGGCAGGTCAGGCCACTGAGGCCCTATTGAGCAACTGGGTCTGGGATAGGGAGCACTCAGGCGAGCCCTTTCACCAAGTAGGCCTAAGAGGGACCCCTAGCCTGCTTAACAGGCCCCTCAGGAGTTAAGTCTCTACATTTTCTATTTCATCACATCAAAGAATGAGGGACCCAGGTGAGGGTGGGGTGGGAAAAGGGTAGAGATGAGCACCCTGCTTCTACTAACTCACTTTCCACAGTTCAGTTCAGCAACTGTAAGGGCAACAACTGGCTCCTTGTCCCTGCCTCTGGGCACCAGCCTTTGGCCAGGACCATGCACCCCAGCAGTGCTGGCAGGACACCACCAGGACACCCCATACTGGGTTCAGAGCTGGCATTCCCACTGTGCCCAGCTGGCCACATGCCTCAATGGGCACACAGGGGGCCTCATTCTTCACTCCTCCACTTCCCAGTCTTCCATTTCCCGCTAAATATGCAGCAAATTGCTCAAATTCCTCTTACCACCTTCCCTGAATAGCTAATCAGGTTCCTGTGGAAGTTGAACGCTCCCCTTACCCCAACCCCACATCAAAAAAAAGTAAGAAAACTCCGGGCAGCTGAAACCTAATAAGTTGCCCAGCGGGGAGCACAGCAGCACGGTAACTAGGCCGACCTGGTATTGTCATTGGGTGCTCAGAAGGGGGGGTTGAGCTAAGGGTGCCAGCCTTTGGGTAAAGGGGTAGGGTGGGGGCAGAGATGAGAACGAGGGAAGTGGTGGTCATGGTGTCAGGTGGGAGGAATAGAAAACCTTCCTATTTCCCCAATTGGGGAGATGGTGGTGGGTCCAGGAGGCCAGGGGTAACCCAGAGTCACTGGAAAGGCTCTGCCATCCTCACTCCCAGGGTCGTGGGTGTGGGGATACCCCTTCACAAAGGCAACCGGTGCCTCTGCTGAGAAGCCCTTCCCCTGCAGAGGAGAAATGGGTGCTGTTCTTGCTCCCCAGGGCGCCCTGCTGTTCCCAGGGTGTGTGGGTTCCTCAGTACTGCTAATGAAGGCGTCCCATCCTCATTCTCAGCCCGGGAAATTAATTTAGATTGGATTTTCTCCTGTGAGGGCCACCCCCCTCCTTTGTATCATTACCATAATGAGATGGAAGTGGCACGGTAGTTTAACGACATTAGTCAGGAGAGAGTGTTTGTGTAGCTGAGGCAAGTGAGGGAGAGGCAGAGCTGGGGGCCGGGGGCAGGGACATAGCGGTTCCTGCACGGGCCCTGGTTGATGCCCTTCCTGATGGGGCCTGGCACAGGGTGACAGGCACGTGATGCGGGGAGCACCTCTGAAAGCAGAGGCCTGGGCAGGCCTTCAGTGGGGACACAGCTCGAGTCCACCCTGGAGGTCAAGAGGGGGCCTCTTCACAATCCAAGATGAGTGACCAGGTAGGCAAGGGCCCTGGACAAATTCAGGTCCTTCCTTCTTTCCTCCCTGGAGGGCAAGGAGGCAGTCCTGTCTGTGGCTGCTCCAGAAGGTTCTCTGGGCCCAGGGCAGGGGGCCCACCTACCTCCTCTGCTTCTTCTCCAGCTCATGGTTGCGGACCTGCTGGCCCTCCAGGTGCAGCTTGGTGTCCTGCAGCTCAGCTGTCAGCCGCTGGCACTTCTTCTTGAGCTGCTGCAGAGCCCGTTGACTCTCCTCACTGTCTGCCTGCAGGTCCCCGAGCTAGGGGCCGAGACGGGGTGCATATACAGAGAGGCCCGGAAGCATTGGTGGAGAAGGTGAGGAGAGGGAGGTGGGTAAGTGAGGGGAAGACCCAGGGATGTGGGAGGAAGTCGGGTCTCCCAGGGAACTGAAGAAGCTCTAATGATAGCCTGCTCCTGATTGCCCCTGCACCGAGAAGCTAACATGTCAGCCTCCCTGATCTGTCCCAGGCCAGGCCTGCCTGCCCCCAGCCTTCACTGGACTGACACAAGGCACCAGTTCCCCTCCTGGCCCTCTCAAGCACAGGCCTCGGCTCCTCCCCAGCCTCACCCGCCGCTCCAGCTGCCTCTTGTTCTGCTGCTCCACCTCCAGCTTGTCCTCAAACTCCTGCTGGAGCCGCTTCTTGGTGAAGTCCACCTCCCGCACAGCCCGCTCGTACTTCAGCCGCCACTCGCCACCTGTGGGGTTGAGGCAGACAAGGGAGGATGGAGGTGCTGAGAGTTCCCAGAAGGGGCAGAGGGGAAGGAGGATGGGGCAGGGGGAGCAGCAGGTGGAGTCAGCCAGGGCTCAGAAAGCTCTCTGTAATGACGGCTTCCTCCCAAGGCAGAAGAAGCCACTAGCCAGGAGACCAGAGCGAGAGATGTGACTACATGTGCTGTGCCTCCCCCAGGGACTGCTGGGACCACGGCCCTCAGTCTTTGTCATGGTCGTGGTTGTCACAGCTCTACCTAACAATCCCCTGCATTTATTGGCACCTCTGCCTTCTCATCTGTTTCTTTCACTTTAGCTCATGGAGGGGAGACAGGCCTGGACAAGGGACATGACTACCCAGGGGTGGGCATCAGGGCTCGCATCGCAGGCCACTGCCGAGCTCCTTGGGCCTCAGAGGCCCACCTGCATCATCATCATCCACTTCCCCGTTGATCTCCGCTGCCCGGATGAGACGGGCCTCCATCACTTCCATTTCCATAACCTCCATCTGCTTCTTCAGTGCATCATACTGGGTCTGCAGAAGACGGGGTTTCAGGGTATGCTTCTGTCCCCTCATACCCACTCCCCGAACCACACAGACCATGCTCACATGCTTACCCAGGGCAGACAGGGATGCTGGGCTAGGGGTGAAGACGCCAGCTGTTTTTGGGGGGAGCCAGTGGGCACTATGGTGTGGCAGTCACCAGCCTGCTGTTCTCACCCAGGCCCTGCCCTCACCTGCAATTCCTTCATCTCCTTCTCAGCCCGGAGCCTCTCTGCTGTCTCCGCGTCCAGCAGCTGGGAGGCAGACTCTCCTGTGTTACGCTCATCTGTCAGCTCCGATGTCAGCTCCGAGATCTGGGGTTGGGGGTAGGGAGTCACCACCAATTGAAGTGCCTGCCTCACTCAACCAGAACACCTGGGGGACCTGCAGGGGCTGGGTCTCCCTGCAGCCATGCCCAGTTGGTGTGGTGCCAGGAGTCACTCACCCGGCTCTCCAGCCGGTCACTGTTGAGCCGCAGCTCGTTCCGCTCCTTCTCCACCTTCTCGAGCTTGTTCCGCAGCTGCTGGATCTCCTCCTAGGGTGGACCAAAGAGGGCAAAGTGAGCCAAAGGCACTGCGAGGGGTTGGGGCCCTGGGTCTGCACCCCTGTAGTGAACGAAGTTGATGAAGCTTGGGCCAGGACACCATGGGAGGAAGCATGTCCCCAATAGCAGAGCCACTGCCTCCTGGGAATCCTGTCCCTAGACCCTTCCCAATAAGCTAGAGATGCCCAAGATTTTATCGTTAAGAGGCTGCCCAGGGGCTCAGCCAGCACCCCAGAGGGACATCTTCTGTTTGATGAGCACATTTCAAGGATGTGAGCTCTCTGGACTAAATGAAGAAGCGCTTGGAAGTTCAAGCTAAACTGGCAAGGCTTCCCCTCACCCAGAGACTTGGCCCTCCCAGGCTGTCACATACGTCTTTGTTCCGGATCTGCTCCTCTGACAGCTGTACTTCAATGAGGGGCCTCACTGTGGTAAAGAGCTTCCACCAGGGCCAGTCCTTCACCCCTTTGTTCTTCTTGATGTTCTTCTGAACACAGCGAATGGCCAGGTCCTGGATCTGCAGGTGGGGTGGGGGTGGCGCACAGTGCGGTTCTCAGTCACCTTGGCCAAGCTTGGCCCAGGATCCTCCCCACCATCAGCACAGGCCCCCGGGGCTGCTCCTCTGGCCTCCTGACCCGGAGTCAGATATTTCCCATGCTCCCCCTTGCCCCAGGCTCCCTCCGTCCCTCAGAGGGTGGGCAGCACAGAACCCAGCCCTGGGAGCACTGCGCTGGGCACTAGCCGCTCCGCTGCCATTAGGAATAATTTCATCTGCTTTATTTGCTGCCTGATTATTTCCAGCACCCTGGCCTAGCTGTGCTATAAAACCTAATCTTGCTGAAACACAAGAGGCGGCAGTGCTGGCTGTTTTATGGACTTGCTAATAAGAAAAGGAGTCGCTGACACAGCTCCTTAATCTTCATGGAGCAGCCTATGATCCAGAGCCCACCTTTGCCTGGGCCCTGATTCCCCTACCCCTCAACAAAGCCCTCCAACCAGGCCCCGTTGCTGGGCACACCAGCACACTTGCTGGCACCAGGGAGCTGCGCATTCCCCACCCTGGCCCAGGACATGGTGGCCTGGGAGGTTCCTGCCTCTTCTCCCCCTCATAGCCCCCACTCCAGGAACTTGGCCGTGCCCATCTAGGTTGCGGGGGGAGGGGATGTCCCTAGAGCAGCACCTTTCTCTTCTTGAAGTGCTGGCGGGCCAGGTAGCCCCGGCAGGCTGCTTGGAAAAGGGTTAGGTTCCTGCTGGTTTGTTCGTCCCGCTGCTCCTCCAGCCGTGCCAAGGTACCCGCCCGGAAGAACACCTGTGAAAAAGCAGGCCAGGTGAAGGCAGGAGACTGGGCCAGCCCAGCAGAGGAAAGGGAGGGAAGGTGAGGAACTGGAGAAACAAGCAGGCCAGGGAGTACAGCCCTTCGCTTGGGAAGAGCCTCAAAATCCAATTGTCCAAGAGAGAAGGGGAGGAGCAGGAAGAGGCCCTGGGAAGGCTGAGGGAGAAGGGGCTGGGGAGGTTTTGGCAGGGGAGGAGTAAGGTGTGAAATTTAACTTCAAAGAAAGATGAAAGGAGAGGGAAAGTAAAGGGAAGATATCTGGGGCAAGGAAGGAAATGGAGCAGTCACTGGTCAAACAGGGAGGGGGCGTCCTGCCACATCTGTGAGGGCTTCCTCATCCAGGACTGCCAGCAACCCTGTCAATGCCCCCTGTGCCCACAGCCCACTGCAGGGCCCAACCCGGGCTCCAGCCCCCTCTGACTCCCGACTGCTGGGATCAGGGGGAGTGGATGCCGGAGGATGTCTGTGTGAGAAGAAGTGCTGGGGAGAAGCGTGCAGAGGAAAAGCAGGGAGAATGGGAAGGGGGTGGTGGGAAGCTCCTGCCTTCTCCTCCCCCTCCCTGCTAGTTTCATTTCAGATGGCCTCCTCTTTCATGTGCCACCCCCCAACACACACCCAGGTTTCACCTTCTCATGAAGAAGCCAGTGAGGTGGGCGGGGGTTGGCCCAGCTGAGGGACCTGTCATACAGGTTTGGGGGCTGGAGGGCAGGCATGTGCAGAACCAGCTGGGCGCCCCCACACCTGGCCTTTCCTTAACACTCTGTGCTGCCCTAAGATAGGGCTTGGTAAAATTTGCCACACGCCACAAAGAGGAGTGTGTGTGAAACGGGAAAGGTTGGGTGAAAAAAATCACTCTGTATCCATGAGAGTCGCGGGCGGAGACACCTAGGTATAGGCCTACCTCCATCTGGCACAGAACACAGAAAATTCCTTTTTGTGGGGCAAAGAGAAGATGTGAACGTGATGGGAAACAGGTTACGTAAATGCACTGAGAGCCAACAGGCACAGTATCCCGAGGCCCCCTTCAGCAAAGATGCAAAGAGAGGGCCTAAACTTTCTGCTGAGAAAGCTCTGCCTCTGGCGACTCCACAGAAACCTGGTCCCCTGAGGCTGGCCTTGGAAAAAGCCAGCTCAGTCCTTTGTGACACTTCCCTAAATCCCACCATCGAACATGGGGTCTCCCATCGGTCCTAAGTTCTACCTGAGCCTCAATTTCTTTTCTTTAAATTTATTTTGAACGGTCTTGCTCTGTCACCCAGGCTGGAGTAAAGTGGCGTGATCATGGCTCACTGCAGCCTCTACCTCCCAGGCTTAAGTTATCCTCCCACCTCAGCCTCCCCAGTAGCTGGCACTACAGGTGTGCATCACCATTCCCAGCTAATTTTTGTATTTTTTTTTTTGTAGAGATGGGGTCTCCCTATGTTGCCCAGGCTGGTCTTGAACTCCTGGCATCAAGTGATCCTCCTGCCTCAGCCTCCCAAAGTGCTGAGATTACAGACATAAGCTGCCGTGCCCGGCTGCTCAATTTCTTTCTCTCTTTTTTTGGGGACAGAGTCTTGCTCTGTCACCCAGGCTGGAGTGCAGTGGTGCAATCTTCGCTTACTGAAACCTCCACCTCCTGAACTCGAGCGATTCTCATGCCTCAGCCTTCCAAGTAGCTGGGACTACAGGTGCCCATCACCACGCCCAGAAAATTTTTTTGTATTTCAGTAGAGATGGGGTTTCACCATGTTGCCTAGGGTAGTCTCAAACTCCTGGGTTCAGGCAATCTGCCCACCTCAGCCTCCCAAAGTGGTAGGATTGCAGGCGTGAACCACCACGCCTGGCCCCCAGCTGCTTAATTTCATATAATGTGCAAGTCTGAAATCCCACTGGGGGTAAAGGGAATATCCAAGTCCCACCAGGGGACAGCAAACATGCTTGGTTAGGACACATAGCCACCTGACCAGGGCAGAAGTGAGGTGCTGGAGTGGGGGGTGGATAATGGCCCAGAGACACAATGAGAAGAGAAAGAATGGTCTAGAGGCCAAAGCAGCGAGCCTCAAATCTCTCTTGAACATTTGTGGGGTTAAGGGTCCTTCTGGGTATTGGGTGAAAGCTCCAGGCCATCTCCTCCCCAAAATACACATTCATACAAATTTTACAATGTCAGGAGGCTCTGAGCCCCCCAAAGTCCTTATTGAAACTCTCAGGGTCCCATGGCTCAGATGAAGACCCCCTCCTCTGAAGCAATGTGACACACAGGGAATCCCTGCTCATGAGTCAGTGTTAACCAGAGCCTAGACGGCCTGAACTTTCTTTCCCAAACTAGATGTGAGCAGGCACCCAGTGTTGGCCCAGCTCTGCCCTTGAGTGACAGTGCGCCCTGGGGCTTGCCTGCCTCAGCCGGGCACCTGGCATGGCTCAGGACGAGAGAAGGTCTGAGATGGCAGCTGGGAAGAGGATCAGCCTGTACAGGCCCTTTCCTGCCCTGCCCGAGACAGGCCTGGGAACCCAGGCATGGGCTGGAGAAGGTGCCATCCCCAATGGCAGCCAGCAGCAGCTCAGCCTGCTTGAGAGGCAGGAACCTGGCGGGAAAGACCAGGGTGACGGGACCCAGGGAGAGACCCTGCAGCTGAAGTAAAGCCTGAGAGCAGGCGGCCCTAGGCAGGGGCCCTAGATGGCAGCCCCAGCTTAAAAAAGCGGGGGGAGCGGAACAGACAGAGAGAAAAGAGCTGAGCCAGCCACAGAGGTAGACAAAGCAGTGACACAAACCAGAAAATGACACAGAAAGAGAATGGGACACAAAGATACAGAGAACAAGGAGAGAAACAGAAAAACAGAACCAGAAACCAAGGAATAGAGACCAGCAGGGACTGCTGGGGCCAAAGGGAAAGCCAGGGACGGCAGAAGCAAAGATGGGAAGATGCAAAGACACAGAGATGGGAGCGATTGACAGTGAGGGAGGGCAGGAGGAGCCAGGAAAGCGACTCAACATGCAGGGCCGAGAGGACCAAGCACACAGAACAAGTGAGACTCAAGCCTCTGCAAGCACCTCCTTGCACCACACACGCCCCACGGGACCCTGCAACCCAGAGTTCCTTCCTTCTCTGCCGGCAGACAACCAGTCCAGAACTCTCTCTGGCTCTCCACTGGCCTCCTTTCCACCCCAGCCCTGGGGCACGTATGCGGGTGCCACCTGTCCAAGCTTCCCAGGCTCGGAAGAGAGGGGCATGCTGGGGCTTCCTGCCTGTGGGAGGAATGCTCAGCTGACCCTTTGGTGAGGAGTGACGCGGCAAACTGGCACCCAGGGGCCGGCGTGCCTGCGTTTTACGCACGGCGTTCCATTCAGATGAGGAATTCGGCCTGTGGGCAGGTGGTGGCAGCACGGCCTCACCATGCCCTGCTTGCTCTCTGGAACCCAGCAGCCCCAGATAACTCTCCACAGGGGCTCTACCCAAGGCCTCCTGCCTCTTCCAGCCCACATCCTCTGGGTCCAGCCCTCCAGTCTCCCCCACTCTCCACACCAGGACTCGGGCCAAGTTCAGGGCCACCTTCCACCCACTCTCTCCTGACATCACAGAGGTGTTCCTGGCACTGAACAAGCCAGTTATCCAGAAGGAAGGAAAGTCAGGTTGCTGCATCTGAACCCTCTAGCTCCCTGGCCCCCAGCCCTGAAGGGGGCAGCCCCTGAGTGGCTAGGCGGGGTGGAGCTGGGGCAAGACTCAGAGGGCACCAGGAGACCAGTGATGTCTGGCTGAGCAGCAAGAACAGGAGGAGTGGGCCAGCCACCCAGGGGCCCCTGGAGTGAGGCCCGAGTGCCCTCCTGTGGGACAACTCACCCGGCTCAGGCCCATGCAGCAGCTGCTCTTCTCCAGATCCAAGCACTCCAGCAGCTCCTCCACTGCCTGTAGAGAGAGGCCTCCGTCAGGCAGCCCGCCTGGGTCTCCCCTCACCATGCAGGGCTTCCTCCAGGCCCTTGGCCCTTCCCCTCCCTCCTCCTAGACAGTCTGTTACTCATGCACTTGTGTGGGCTTCCTCAGTGTCAGGCATTGGGTTGGACTCTGGGGACACAGAGATGACTACAAGAGGAACAAAGCATCTTGCTGGGGAGCAAGACAAGTGAACTACTGCAGTGCCCACAGGAGGTGGCACCTCCACGAGGCACCTCAGACAGCTCTTGGTTGTGCTGAGAACTTCTGATACAAGTGAGAATTTGCTGGACCAAGTAGGGGAGAGGGCATTTCAGGTGGAGGAACCAGTGTACAGTGTACGCAAAGGCCTGGGAGCACAAGACAGCAAAATGCACTGAGGAAACTCCAAGTCACTCACTGGAACTGGGATGGGGGGTGGGTAGTGAAGGTGCAAATAGAGAGGGGGCTGGAGCCAAAGCACGTGGAGCCCTGTGTGCTTCGGGAGCCCCTGAAGGGTTCTCTCAGAGATGGGCATGATCAGGTCTGCACTGGTAGAGGTCTCACTGGCAAATGGGTAGATGGATGGAGACCTACCCCTCTTAGGCAGTAGTCCACAGGAAGGGAGGCTAGAGCCTGGCCCAAGGGGAAGAGAAGAGGAGAACACACAGCAGGTGTTAAGGAGACAGAGCCTTGCCGGATATGGGGATAGGGTATGTAAGGAGGAATCTAGGGCTATACTGAGATTTCCGATTGACATAACTAAGCAGATAATGGTGCCATTCTCCAAAGTAGGGAATATAAGAGAAAGAGCCGACTTGTGGGGAGAGAGAAGGAGTTTGGTTTGAAAAAGCTGAGTCTGAGATGCCATAAGGGATAGGGGTAGAGAAGTCCAGAAGGCAGTCAGATAGAAATGTATGTCTGGAGCTCAGGAGAGAGGCCTGGGCTAGAGGTATTGATTTGGGAGTCATCAATATATATGCAGTAATTGAAGTGATGAGCATGAATGACGTTGGCCAGGAAGAGGGTGCAGAATAGAAAATACATATGGCCAAAGACAAAGTCCTGAGGAAGACACCTCTTTACTTCAGGGGCAAGTGGAAATGAGCTCAGAGGGAGTGAGAACAGAGTCAAGGGGGAATCCAAGAGTGGCAGCAAAGAGGCCCAAGAGAGGATGTCCCAGAAAGAATGGAGCCCCGTGCTGCTAAGAATTCAAGTAACAGGGATAGAAAGTGCCGGTTGGCTGTGGCAATATGGAGGGGATGAGAAGACCAGTGCCAGGGCATCAGGGAGAGGCACCAGGCAGCCATGGGCGGTGAGGGCAGCAGGAAGAAAGCCCAGGGCAGGCAGGAGGCAGAGCACAGTACAGGGAGATGATGACAGAGGTGACAGAGGCTCCTTCCAGAGAGCAAAACCTGCAGGTCTGTGGGGGAGTTTCTCCATGGAGAGAAAAGGGCCAGGAGAAAAGGAGATGCTGGAGGAAAAAGACAGAGAAGCGAATTCACACGGATAGAACGGGTCTCTGGGGAGACCCAAGGAAACGGACTCCAAGGCACAGGATCAAGGGACTGGACGAGAGGAGGGACCCTCCCCACCAAGACAGAAGGTGTACAGGAATAAGGAGGCCAAGGAAGAGAGGTTTGCAGGAGGCAGGAAAAGAAGCTGGAGCCTGATGTCCTGAGATCTGGAAGTTGGGTATCTGCTGAGAAGGTGAGCCAGAAAGGTGGGGTGGGGAGGATTTGAGGAGAAAGATGGAGAATGGAATAGCAGATAGGAAGCCTGGAGTCACGGTCAGATAAGAAGGGGACATCTAGAAGACTTGCTGGTTCCCCCCGAGGGCCCACCAAAGGCTGAAGACCATGAACCTGTAGGAAGTCAAGTCCACAAAGTTGTAGAATTTTCTTCCACCACCCTTGGGAGCCCAAAGTGAGGAGTGCGGACACCCAAAGCCTGGCACTTTGGGGTGGGAGTTTGGCAGGCCAGGTGCTGCGGGAGGCTCAGGAGGGCTGAGGGCAATGGAGGCGGAGTGACTGCAGAGTGAACCATGGAAAAGGAGACAACTGACAGAGAAACGGAGTGTGATCCAGAAAGAGAGGTCCTGATGGAGCTGGAGAGCAGTGTCCTGAGGGGAAGAGAGGTGTGGGACCAGCAGGCAGGAGGCTGTGGTCAGAGAAGGTCACGTTGGGATTTATGATTTCAGAGGTGGGGCATTTCCAGAGCTGATGAGGTACTGGTGTAGCCACAGGTGGGAGGCTGGAATGGAGGCTGAGGCCCGTGAGAAGGGGGCGTGGGACGGGCATCTATGTCCACACGAGGTTGCCCAGGCCACCAGCAGGCCAAAGGATGGAAGAAAGTTCTTCCGATCCCCCTCTATGAATTCAGGTCTTTGAGGCGGGGGTGGAGGGGCAGGGGGGCACACACAGGCTGGGCACTCTGTGGGGTTTCTGCCCCATTCTGCAGCATCCCCTCCTTTTAGGGAAGCCATCCTAAGGTCTGAGGTGTTTTCAGAATTAGGCTGGGTGCCTGAGGCCCAGCACAGTAAAGGAGGGGTCCTCTGCTCTGGGAGCCCTGTGACTGCCTAAGGGGCTGCCTCTGGGGCTCAACATGACAGCCCAGACGGGCAGGGACACCCCTTCCGCAGCCACGAGTTCACCACCCAGGGCCGGAAAGGGCCCAGCAGCCTGTGTTCACCTGGCACCACAGAGGTCTCGCCATATCCACCTTCCTTCTAGGAGGAATGTTCACCCAGCCCTGGACAGTTTCCTGCTTCAGGAACCAATCCCTGACATGGGGGCCAGGCTGGGGGCCCAGGTGCCGTCGGTGGGGCTCCCAAGGCACTAATAATTCTCATGTGCCCCCAGTGGGCCCAGGCCCTGCTCGCTCCTGGATGATTGTCTGACCCACCAGTGAGCAGACACCCCCAGCTCAGGCCTCCAAGGAGGGAATGGCTCTTCTCCAGCTCCTACGGTCTGGGCCCCAGGACACAGCTGGGTGCTTCCAAAACCAGGAGCCTGAGCAGGGCCAGATGGGCTGTCTCCAGGGGAGGGAAGGCAGATGAGTCTGGGAAGGGCAGCTGCTTGAGGGGCCTGGGCAGACGGAGAGTGGTCTGGGGACCTGGACCTACCCGCCTTTCATCCACCACGATGTAGTTACGCCCGTGTTTCTTGGTCAGGTGCGGGGCCAGGACATCAAAGCGGCGGCGGAACTCAGAAAACACCATGTGGTCAGGGTAACCTAGAGAGAGCAGCCCAGAGCCAGGCCCATCAACGCTGCCTGCTCCCAGCACACCCCAGTAGCCACTGGTGCCTGGGCAGTCAGTGGACAGTCACCAAAAGGGAAGAAACTGCAGCGGGTGGGGAGCCTGTGGTTGAAGGCAGGCCTCGAAAGTAGAGTGGGGAGTCAGGGAAGAGGAAGAGGAGGCCAGGAGGACAATCAGGCCTGCTCTACAGGGGGACAGGAAGGCCTGAAAAAGGAACAGGCTCCTTCAGAAAGAAGTAAGCTCCTAGTCAGTGAGGTATGCAAATGGGGGGTTGCGGGGCAGCTGACCAGCTCAGAGGAAGGCTACGTCCCAATCCCCAAGATGCTTTCTAGCCCTCCAAGTCTATGTCTCAGTGATAACGCAGACAGAACAATGTCCTATAGTCTTTAAAAAATAAAAAAAAAAAGGACACCAGGCCAGGTGTGGTGGCTCACGCCTATAATCCCAACACTTTGGGAGGCCAAGGTGGGAGGATCACTTAAGGCCAGGAGTTTGAGACAAGCCTGGCCAGCACGGTGAAACTCCGTCTCTACTAAAAATACAAAAAAGTAAGCTGGGTATGGTGGTCCATGCCTGTAGTCCCAGCTACTCAGGAGGCTGAGGCAGGAGAATCGCTTGAACTCAGGAGGCAGAGGCTGCAGTGAGCCAAAATCACACCACTGCACTCCAGCCTGGGAGACAGAGCAAGACTCTGTCTCAAAAAAAACAAAAAACAAAAAAAGGCACCAGAGTAGCTGAAAGGAATCATGCATTGGCTAGGTGCTGGATTCCTGGCCCTGCCTCTTAGGATCATGTGACCTTGGGCCAGTCACTTAACCTCTCTGAGCCTCAGTGTCTTCACCTTTAAACGGGGGCCCTAGCACTTATCTCGCATGGTAGTCATGGAGATTAAATGAGAAACCAAGTAAAAAGCACAGTGTGACTCACTTGCTTGGCATTTAATAAACACTTCTTTTCCCCCTCCGTCCACTGAAGCAGGACATCAGAAAGGCCGATCTCCTTGCCTCATCCTGACCTTGAGTCCTAGGCCAGGTGACCAAAAAGACTTGTAGATTCTCTTTCCCTGAAGAGTGTCTGGGCTTCAGGTCAGGGGAGGTGTGACCTGACTTTTGGCTTGGAGCAAGGTGGCTTTTGGCTTGGAGCAAGGTCAGAGCAGTGGCTAGCAGGAGGTGACCCCAAGTCACCCTGATCTTACCAGAGCCCAGGGTGGAGGGCCACGAACTCCACTCCCACAGAATCACAGAATTTCAAACCAGAAAGGGTTTCTTCTTAAACCAGATCTGACTCATCTTTCAGACATAGAAATGGAGGCCTGGGAGGAGCGACTGGCTTGCTCAAGGTCACAAAGGCTGCCGCTGGGGGCAGAACTGGCTTCCAAACCTGGACTCCCGACAGTCAGCCAGGGACTCGCTCCACAGCAATGATGGACTAGCTGGCTCTGGGAAACCCTCCAGCTGGGAGGTGAGGCTGATGCATGTGCCTGATAATTGAAACAGGAGGCGGGGGCTGCTGAGGGGCCAAGACAAAGTGAGCTATTGATTGTATCTGAATTGCAATTAAATTGATGGGCCAGGATAGCAGGTCTGGACGCCTGGCATCTTAATTAATCATCAGTGCTATCGTCGGTGGCTGGGGGCCGGGTGAGGGAAGGGGGGCCTGCTGCTGCTGGCCTCATCGATCTGCTTGTTTGAGTAAAGCACATTGATTTTGGTTCAGAGCGGTAACAATCTGGTTTTGAAATAATAAACACCAACTCCATATCAAGACGTGGGGACAGATCGATGATTTATTTAGAGCAGGGCAGGGAGCCTGTTTCCTGGCTTGGGCTGCTAAGGAAAAGTGACAGTGCCCATGGGAATGCCTGAAGGGGACCTGGCTGTGGGTGGGTCTACCTGCTCTTCTAGCAAAGGAGAAAAACATCAGAAACCCAGCAACTCATAACTTCTCAGGCAAAACAACAACAAAAACAACCACCAAAAAAACCCCACTTGAGAGACATGAGACATGACTCTACAGCCAGCCTGCCTGGTCAAATCCCACTCTGCCGCTCAGGAGCTGTGTGACCTTGGGCAAGCTACTTAACCTCTCTGAGCCTCAGTCTCCTCATCTGGAATAATAGCAGTGTGCTATCATGATAGCGGTGTGCTATCCCGGCCCCCAGCCACCAACAATAGCTTCTATGGACTCTAAGTAACCACTAATACTATCATCCTCTATGTCTCCTCCTTTAGATGCGTCCATAAAAAAGGGTCTGTCTGACCTTTCTTGGGAGTTTTAAGTACTTCAGAAAGATTTAGCACCTCATTTCTCACTGGGCAGATGGCTCCGAAAGGGCAGTGGGTTTGCTGCTATGGGCAAAGTTGAACTGTCCAAACTAGGGACGTGAGGAGAAAGGGAGCTGTGGACAAATGACAAGGCGCGGGGTGGAGCTGGGAGGGGAGAGGGATGAAGAGAACTGAATACGGAAGGGAGAGGAGGAGGCGGGGACTCTGCAGGATGGAAAGAAATGGAGAAAGGAAGGGGCTGTGGGCTGGGAGAGAAGAGGAGAAACCAGAGCAGAAAGGATCGTGAGGAAAGAGACAGGAGCAGCCCCACTGCAGCCCACGGGTCCCAGGTGCGAGGTGGGGCGGGGCAGAGCCAGCTCTGGAAAAGAGAGCCCAAAGTGGAGAGGAAAGGAGGCCCCACCTTGGCGGTACATGCGCATGGCATCGAGCAGGCGGGAGCCGCGGAGCTGGGTGCGGAGCAGGGGCACGTCGAGCTGCAGGAGCCCAGCCTCGCAGTGGTCTCCCGAGGGCAGGTCCAGCTCACTGCTGCTGCTGACTCGGCGGGAGGAGGCGGAACGGGGCTCCCCAGCCCAGCCCTCAGCCACAGGCAGGAAGCAGTGCACAAAATGCAGCTTCGACTTCTTGATGGTGTCGATGAGGGCATCCTGCCGAGGGGAAGGGACCGCCCTCAGTGGGCTCTGATGGCCTGTGCTCAGAAGAGCAGAGACTGGTGCCAGCGTCTCCACTGCTCACGGGGTAGCAGGGGCACCAGCACCAGCCAGGACCTGCTAAGCCTGGACAACTCTGCCCTCACTGGGCCTGGGTGGCCACTCACAGGTGGCAGCACTGAAAAAGAAGACCCCACCAGCAGCCATCGAGTCACAGCGGGACGCTGAGTGGGCACCAGATGGCCTCAGTGTGCTCGGAGTCCCCAGGCCTGCCTGCCAGGGGTAAGGAAGAGTCCCCAGGCCTGCCTGCTGGGAACCGGTTGGCACTTACCACCTGCAGCTTCATCTGGATGCACAGTGACTTCTTTTTGACAGCCGCCATGCCCGTGGTAAAGGTCTTCCGCATGCTGGTGGCCCGACGCAGTGCCAGCTGCGAGCCGCCCTCCAGGCCCGCAATGGAGCCAGAGAGCACCGTGGCACTGCTTGCGCGGCCCAGAAACAGGTTGCTGATGATTTTTCTGCCAGAGGTGGGAGGATAAGAGAGGAAAAGCAGTCACATCGATGGAGCGGGAAAGGCTGCTCCTACCCCAAGGCCCCAGAGCACCAAACAGTCCCATTCAGCCACGTCCAGGGGCCTGGCTACCTGAACTGCATGCCCCACACTCTACAGATAAACAAACAGTGGAGAAATTTTCAAACAATAAGGAGAGAAAGCCAGAGGTGGGCAGAAGCCAAGGCGGGGACAGGAATTGGACAGAGGAGAGCGATCTACTCATCTACTTCCACTCACCAGGGAGGGCAAAGGTGTGGAAAGGTTTCCAATGTGACAGGAGGGGTTAGGGTTCAACATCTTCTAACATATGATATAATTTATTTATTACATTTACTTTTCATTATCTGTCTCTCCCACTAGAATGGAAATTCCACAAGGGCAGGGAGCTCAGTTTTGTTCACTATGATCTGCCAAACACCTAGAAGCCCCTGTCGCAGGGTAGGTGCCCACTAACCATCTTCCAAAGAGCAGAGCGGATGACAGGGCCTATGGGCCTGGGGGTTTCTAAGGCCACTCCTGCCTTCTTTGACTTGGGGGTGTTCTTCACATTTAAACCATAGGCTCTCCCACCATATCTGCCTCCCACCTCTACTCTAAGAGGTCCCTCCAGCTCCTCAAGGCCAAGTGCCCTGGGCTGTTGCCTCTCAGGAATAAAGGCCATTTATTTTGCTAGTGAGGGGGCCTCTGAGACAACTGCAGGGGGAGGGAGCCCCAAAATCAAAACAGTCCTGGGTACAGGATAGGGGAGGAGGCAGTGTGGTCTTACTTCTGGGAGTCCTGCAGGAGCCGGGGGGCATTCTGGGTGGCTGGGTTCTGCTTGGTGTAGTTCAGCCAGCCAGTCACGTTGTACTCTACCCAGTTGGTGCCATGGCTGTGGCCCAAGAGAAAGTGGTGCGGTTTGCTGCTGCGCAGAAGGGGGCTTTGGCCTGATGGTGGGAGAAGCAAGATTCAGGTTGTCAGGGCACAGGCGCAAAGTGATCCCCTGCACAGGGAGTGCCACCTAGACCCACCTGTAAGAGGAAGCAGAGGAGCTACCCTCTAGGGATGCCACCTACCTTTTTTGTCACCTTCCTGGGGGCCATAATAGGAGAAAAGGCGCTCCAGGAGGGTGTCCTCACTGGCCCCTGGCACCAGAGCCTCCTCTTCCAATAGCCAGAGCAGGCCCCTTGCCTCGTCTGTGCGGGCCAGCGAGCGGACCTACAGAGAAGGAAGGAAATCCCTCCTTGTTATATGGAGCTGTGGGAAAGGGGCCAGGGTGGTCCTCAGGCCCAAACACACCCTACAGAATGCTACGCACGTGCACACATGCACGCACGCACACGCCGCAGCTCCTGCCGCTCACTGCTGACACCTTGTGGAGGAGGCGGGCAGCCCGGGGAAAGGGGAGCCAAGAAAGGGAGCAAAGGGAAGCCCACAGCAAAAGAGGGTGCTTAGCACTCCAGTCCAAAGTCACCAAAGACTGCAGCCTTCCTCCTGGCCAGAGCCCACACCCTGAGGCCCTCCTCCACCCTTTCCCCTCGGAGGTCACCAGGGACTTGGGTGAACCCCATATTGCTCTCACTCCCTGGCAGTGGGATAAAGTCTGGAAGGCCCTGAGCACAAGGGTTGGCCCTAAGGAAGCTGTCAGTAAGTGACAGCTGTGGGGTTAATCCTGGTCTCTGAGAGTAGAAAACCCAGAGGGGGCTCAGATGGCTGCCGGTGGGATCACTGCAGGCTCACTCAAGGACCAAAAGCATAAGACAGGTGACTTAACAGATGTGGCAGCCAAAATGGGCAGAGGCTGGGGCAAGCTAGACAGCAGGTACCCCTATCTAAAGGGAACAACCACCACTGAGCTGCAGCCAACTGCTGTCCTGGAAGAACACTGGCCTAGCATTGATAAACCCTCTGGTTCTTCAAGAGAAGGTAGAAATATCCAATTCTGATTTCCAATATCCCAGGAAGGCCAAAGAAACTAGGCCTGTGGCCACATCTGGCCTGCAGGTGCCTTTTCTATGGAGTTCCCACATCTTTCTTGGGCAGGAAGGATGGAACCTTCCCCACACCCTATTCTGGCCTGGCCTTTAGGGACTGGAGGAAAAAAGAAGTGAGAAAGGGGCAGTTTTTTCTCTCTTTGACCCCAGCTGCCTGCATCTCCTCCCCACAGATGCCCAAGGGAGTTGGCGTGATTACCAGAAGGAAGCAGAATGTGGCCAAAGGCCAGGGTAACTCTGGCGGCAGGAACCAGGTAGCAGGAACGAGCAATGAAGCATCAGATGGGAAGACAGGCTTGGCACCAAGGTCCCCTTCCCCAGGGGTGCAGCTGCCCCATGCCAAGGCCCATTAGTCAGGGGAGACCACAGAAGAGAAAGAAGGGCCAAGCTCTTCCCACATGCTGTCTGACCCCTGCTGCTCATGCTGACATCCTCCCTCTTCCAGGAGCCACAACGGTTCTGAGTGAGGCCATCACAGGAGCCCAGGTGTCAGGAAAAGAAAATCCACTTCCCTGGGGAGATGTGGTGCTTGGGCACTTTAAACATCTGTCCCCGGGGGGTACTCACTCTTTCCCAGTCCCGCCACTTGTGCAAGCCACGCAGGGCCTTATGGCAGAGAAGAGGGAGGGAGAGGCAGGAATCAAAGCAGAGGACGGAGATCGGCGGCCTCGCAAAAATGCCAGTTCGCCAATAAAGCACCTTATGCAATTCCCCTAATGGCGGACAATCGCCAAATGCCAAGAGTTTGCTAGGCCAGCCAGTCCCCCACCAAGTGCCAAGGTGCCCAGGACACTAGCACAAAGGGTGACAAAGCCTGCCCCCAAGGTTGAGGGGCGAGGGTTCATATCCATGACAGCCCCCTAGAGGGCATTTGACAGCTTGGCACTGTTTCCCCTGGGAGTGGGAGGCTGCCTCCTGGCCCTGCTCTGTTAGGTTGCACCAGTCCTCTACCTGGGGACAATGGGAGGGAATGACTATGTCCTTGGGGTCTGGGCCCTCACCACCTGGGACTGGTCACCAGGGCTCCTAGCAGACACACTGGAGGCTCAGCCAGTCACCAGCTGGGGCCTGAGCCTCAGAGGCTGAGAAAGGAGATATGCTTTCCTGCCTGGCTGGGATACCCGTGGGCTGTGGCTCCCCAGGGCACTAGAGCAGAAGAAAGTGCCACCTTCCTGGCCAGACTGCGTGAGTGCTAAGGGGCAGAGCCCCAGCGCCATAGAGTAGTTGGTGTCTGGGCATGACCGCTGGACCCTCCCTCAGCCCACAGTGGCACTCCTGGCAGCAGCTCAGATGGAGAGGGCTCCACCACAGGGAGAGGGGTGGGAAATGAGAGGAAAGGCTCTCTCAAACCCTCTCTGCAGCTCCTACCAGGGACTGATGGGAGGCCTGGTCCACAGCAGCCACAGAGTCCTCCGTGGGGGACTCCAAGTCATCAAACGCCAGCTCGATGTTCTCCTGGGAAGGAAGGCCGAGCAGTACTGAGCATGGGGGTCACGTTGTGGGGAACAGCCCTGTGAGCAGGCTGGGAGGGAGCTCTGAGATCTGCAAGGCCAACCTCCTTCAGTGCCGTGCAGGAGCTCCCTCCGTCATCCCAAATGAAACGGCTCCCAAGGCAACACACTGTATTTTTTGCACAGCTAAAATTCTCAGAACCTCTTTTTATCCTAAGCCAGAGTCACATTCTCATTACTCACATCAGTTGATTAGGCAACACAGAGCAAGCCCACTCTCAATTTCACACAATCATCCTTGAAACACTTGAAGACAACTGCCATTTTCCTTCTGAATCCTTTCTCGCCCCAAATAAATATCCTGACAATTCACTCAACTCATTTCCAGATGAGGCAGGATTTCCAGTTCTCATCCCATCAGGGACACCCTTTTACAGAAGGCACTAAGTCATCATCTGTCACCCTCACAGATCAGGGAAGGGAGACGGGAAGGCCAGGCCCAGACACACTTGGAGCAGGAACCACACAGTGGCAATCACTGGGCCTGGGAGGTGCCTCAAAAGAGGCCAAGGGCGGTCTCCTCAGGGCCCTCAATGCACCTGTAGGCTTCCTGGAGAGTAAACTCTCCACCAAGTAAGAACGTAGCCAAAGCCAGAGGCCAGGGACAAGGGGGCAAGGAACGACTGCTGCTCCAGAGAGTGCAGGAGGACAGAAATGGAGAGTAAGGTGCTGCCTTCTGCATCCACAGATGCCCTCTCTAGGGGTGCCAAGGCCAGAATCTGAGGCCAGGTGAGGCCCAGGCCCCAGAGCTACCTCCTTGTATCTTTCCAACTCCTGCACGAAGGTGCGCTCGCGGAAGAGTCTCTGCAGCCGGTCCTGGGTGTAGTTGTGGCACAGCTCTTCAAAGGAGGCTCCGCGGGCCGACCCACCCTGCTCAGGGTTCTGGAAACCCGGGGTGTCGACAATCATCATGGAGCAGAGCGAGTGCTGGCTGGACTTGAGAGCCCTGGATAGGGACAGCCTGGGTCAGAGCCCCGCTGGTTGGCCTCCGGCACCAGGAAGCCTCACCCTGCCCCAGCCAGACTTCCATCCCTGCCCAGGTGCCCAGGACCCTGGTGGGGAGGGCGTGCTGGCCTTGCTCATAGACCACAGTACAGGGAGACCCTGCTGGAGGAGGCCGGCTCTGCCTTGGCCAACCAGGCACAAAGGCATCTACTCCACCTCTGCCAAAGCAGGAAAAGCCCTGGGTCCTGCCTGGCACTCACCTGTTCACCAGGGAGACGAGAAGGGTGAAGAGCTCGCTGTAGAGGCCAGCCGCCATGCCCTCAAGGCACTCCAGCGCACTCAGTTTCGGGCCTGTGGGGCAGGGGGAGCAGCGCTATCTCCTGCTCCGCAGGACTCCCCACCTGGGTAAGCCCATGACCTGCCCAAGGCCCAGTCAGCATGGGGCCTGGGGCAGGGCCTCTGCCACTGACAGAGCATCTGTTCACTCCAGCAATCCCCTCCAGCCCCAGGGATGGCAGCAAGGCCAGGATGAGGCCTCCCGCTCACAACCATCAGCCAAGGGACAAAGCGTACCTGTCCCATCTCCCAGGCCACTCTCCTCGGGGCCCTGGCGGAAGGAGGTGGAGCGCTGCAGAGTGCCACCCTTGTGCTGGTGCTTGAAGATAGCTGAAGACAGCTCCTCCAGGCTGCAGCCCAGTAGGTACGCAGCCTTCTGGGCCCACTCATGGCGGGCAAACTGCTTACGCCCAGCTGTGGAGTGGAAAAAGGGATCTGGCATCCTGGGTCTTTTTCCTTAGGCCAGCTGATGACCTGATGACCAGCTGATGACTATGCATCTTCTGGGGGCAAAAACCAGCCCTGATGACACCTGATGGGCTTTAGGCAGAATAGGGGCAGCCAGCAGTGGCCAGCATTTCCTGTGTCCCATAGGGATAGAGAGAATGAGCAGGTCCTAAAGTAGGCGGTAACTCCACATGCTGCCACCGGAGGGCAACAAGCCGGTTGCAAACCTTTTCAGACGGCTCAGCTCCAGGGGTGCCCAAGTTGGGGAAGGGCGGACGAACCAGCCCACCTGGGATGGGCACAAGAACCCTGTGTGCCTGTGGGGGATTTATCTTGAGAGATCGCTCATGTCTCCTCATTCCCTGGGTGCATCAGAACCCTCCCTCTTGCCCCCCTGGCATCTGCCAGTGGAGACCACAAACACCCACTGATGGCCCAACAGTGGGGAGGCAAAAAAGCCGCAGGGGAAAGGGAACAGCCCACACAGACGTATGTGCCTCAGCCAACATGTGTCTAATCACAGCAATTAGGGAAAGCTAACAAGAAACAAGGTTTTACCTTCAGCAGCTTCTGTAAGGCAAAGGACCAGCATGCAGCATGCAAAGAAAAACAGTGTGTTAGCAAACAGTCATCAACGGAGCTCGCCGCCTCTAAGGGACCGTGGGGCGGGGCTGTTGTGAGGATGAGCAGGCAAGAAAACACAACCACAGTCAGACTTGGGACAAATGCAAACACACACACACAGTCTCCAGGGAGTATGTTTGTGGGTGTAATCACACTGACACATACAGAAAGAGACCCACAAAGACATTCATGCACATGTGTGCACGCACACACACACACCCTGGAAAACACTGGAAGCTCTGAGGCACTAACAGACATTGCTCGACAAGGTCCCCGTGAGGCGCTAACAGACATTGCTCGACAAGGTCCCTGTGAGGCGCTAACAGACATTGCTCGACAAGGTCCCTGTGCTGACACCTGGAGCTCTCTGCTTGCAGCTGGGGCTGGGTAGGTTAGAGGAAAGCTAGGCTTGTCACCACCTCAGAGTGAAGCAACTTCCCTCAACATACAGCCACACGCCTGCCTGCCTGTCCGTCTTCCACATTCTTGAAACAACTTCCCTAACCCAGAGCCTGGCTCCTCCTGGGCAGGGAGGCCACTTCTTGGGGTTGCACGGAGCCTCACGCCCGGGCATCCATTCCTCCATGCACCCACCACCCTCCAGGGCTTTCTCACTCCAGCTGAGCAGCCTGGGGCCCTTCACATCCCAGAAGGGGGACAAACCCAAAGCCCAAGGTGCTGTTCAGCGCTAGCATCCCCTTTCCCTAAACTGTAGAAAAAAGGGGTGAAGAGGTGCTCAAATCGCCACCCTCCAACGCAAGTCATCTTGAAGGATGGAGCAGAGCTCCTCCAAGCCAGGCCAAGTCCCCAAGCGCAAAGTGCCAAAGCTGCAGCCCATTCGTTACCACGGTGCCTACTGCCCCCTAGTGGCCGCCACCTTGACATGCAAGAGGAAGATACGCAGCTACCCAACAAGTGGAGAGAAGGAAAGAGGACTGGGGAAAACTGGTCTCGGGAGGCCCCAGGAAGCAAGCCCACCCTACCCCACCCCATGGTGGGCATCCTGAGAGGTTCCAGGATTCAAATCCAAAACCGGCAGGAGAAGCAGCTACTCCTGGGACTCCAAGACACCCCACAGCCTGCAGGCTCCCCTTTCATTCTCAACCCCCGGGCTTCTCCCCAGACCAGTCCTCTCCACAGCAATAGAACAAGCCCAGCTCCCAGAAAGTCCTGGGCAAGCACCAAGACAGGGCACGGCGGCCCCTACACCCCAGGGCGGGGCCAAGGTCAGTTACCCGCTTGCTCCTCGGGGGCCTCTGTCAGGAAGGGAACAAGAAGGAGAGTCATTCCAGCGGGGCTGCCCTGCCTTAGTGTCCTTCTCGTCCCTCAGCCTCTGAACCCCCAGCCCTCCATGCTTCCTCACAGTGCCCCCCGGGGGGCTGAGAAGAGGCACAAGCAAAAGCGGGGTGTCTCAAAACGGCTGAGTCTGTGCTGGGCAAGAATAAACTGGGAGTGGGCAGGGCCCCTAAAAGATCTCCCAGGGGACAGGCCAGCCTACTGGGACCCACTGCAGGTTACCTTTGGTGGCTCCCGCAGCCCCCAGGTGGTAGATGGCAGCCAGAATGAGCCAGCAGGCCTTCTGTTCATCGGGGGAGATGCCCAGCACCTTCATGGCCGCCTGCAGCTTACTGAACTGCTGAGCTGCCTTCTGCTTTTCCTCAGGCTGTGGAGATAGATGACTTCAAAGGGCTGTTCCTCCCAGCACACCCCCATGAGAAGCTAGGCCCTCAAGACAAGGCTTGGGTAGAGCCAGCAGCTGGAGCTGGGGCTCCCATTATTCCCACGGGACCCATGGAGGCTTTTCCTACCCTCCAAGGCCCAGGGCTGCCAACCCAGACCCACAGACCCCTCACCTTGGCCAGTGGCACAATCCCAAACACATTGTTCTCTGCCAAGTGGTTGAGGTGGAGCTCTGTCCTAGGGGTATAAATAAGGCGTCAACACGGCGCTTGGTCCCCATGCCAAGGCCATTTCCCCCCAGGGTGGAGACAGACAGACTCAGCTTCCAGACTCCAAGTTCTGTCTGCCCATCCTCCCATCATCCCCGACTGGCAGGCCAGCTGCCACTGCTTTCCTAACTGGCCTGGATGCCTGGTCAGGGCACCATTCTCCTGAGTACAGGCCACCAGACATGCCCTGGTAAGAGGATGCAGCCAGGCCCCCAGAAGGGAGCAGGGAATCTGACCGAAGGGTGAGTCCAGCCAAGACAGAGACCATACCCTCAGTTACAAGAAGGGCTAAAGAGGACAATGGCCTGGGGTTGCTGGCTCAGCCTCATCATTTATCTCTTTTCAGTGAACACACAGCAAGTCTGACGGTCTGAAGGGAAGAGCGTGGCAGAGGCAGCCAACACGGGGCAGGAAGGGCTAGTCTGGAGGCCACTGGAAGAGGCATGGGCTTTTGGCCCCAGTGTGGACTCAAATACCCCTACCAGTCATGCGATGGTAAGCAAGTCCCCAACCACCGGCACCTCAGTGTGCTTTGCTTTCCAGAACTGGCTTCATGGGTAATGGAGATCCTAGCTAGGCCCTGGAAACACTGAAGGGTTTTCTGTTCCCCTCCCACATAGCCAGGCCCCAGTACCCACGACCAGGGAGTTCCTGATAGGCAGGGACTACATCTCATCCGTGTCACCGTCCCTGGGGCCTAGCTCAGAGCCTACCACATAGCAGACATGCAATGACCAAACAGTGCAGGATGTGATCAAGTGGCTTTAATCCTGGATGCAATCAAGGTCCAGGAGGCCAGTCAGTGGGCTGGAGCTCACAGCACCCTTGTGTACCCTCTGACCCATCTCACCTGAGGGTGCCATCCCCACAGGCCAGCAGGTAGTAGAAGATGTTGAATGTGGCCTCACTGGCTGGGCGCCGAGCCACACGAAGCTTCTCCAGAAGCATTGTCTGTGGCACAGCATGGAGGTGTGGGTAAGCAGGGTAGTGCCAGATCAAGTTTTTCCCACCCCACATCAGAAGGATGTCCTCTAGGCCCTGGGGAACAAGCAGCTGCATTTTTTTTTTTTTTTTTTTTTTTTTAAGATTTGAGATAGAGTCTCACTCTGTCACCCAGGCTGGAGCAAAGTGGAGTGATCTTGGCTCACTGCAACCTCCGCCTCCTGGATTCAAGCGATTCTCCTGCCTTGGCCTCCTGAGTAGCTGGGATTACAGGCATGCACCACCACGCCCAACTGATTTTTGTATTTTTAGTAGAGATGGGGTTTCACCATGTTGGCCAGGCTGGTCTTGAACTCCTGACCTCAGGTAATCCACCCACCTCAGCCTCCCAAAGTGCTGGGATTACAGGCGTGAGCCACTGCACCCAACCTGCATCTTGTTTTTCAATTCTTTTTTTTTAAGATAGGGTCTCGCTCTGTTGCCCAGGCTGGAGTGCAGTGGCACAATCACAGCTTGCTGCAGCCTTAACCTCTTAGGCTCAAGTGACCCTCCCATTTCAGTCTCCCAAGTAGCTGGGACCACAGGCGTGCACTACCACATCTGGCTCAATTAAGCAGCTGCATCTCATTCCCAAGGTGCTCAACCAGATACCAGATCCCTCTAGGATCAAACTGGGGACAGAAACCAGAATGAGGTGGAAGAAGACAGGCCCAGCTCCCAAAGGGGCCCTGCCATGCTGCCCAGCCCCCAGGTGCCTGCCTTCTGGAAATGGGAGCCTGTGATGAGGTATTTAGCATAGGAAAGAATCCGCCTTGGCTGAGCCTTACTTTACTGACAAGCCAGTCCTCTGCTAGGTGAAATCGGCCCGAGAGAAGCCCCAAGCATGAATCTCAGAAAATGGGTGTGAGGCTGAGGCCCAGCAGTAGAGTGAGGACAACCCCAGGGTTGGGAGAGTGAAGCGAACGGGCAGAAAGCTGGACCGGGCCCCATCCAGGGCAGGAGGCCCTGAGGGCAGAAGGTGATGCCTCTGGGTAGCACAGGGCAAGCCTGCCTGTGTCTGGGTCAATTTTGTTGGGGTAGAATCCCAGGAAAATGAGGCATGGGAGACAGCCTAATTTCTAGGTCATGAAATCACGTGGCCCATTGCCTACTACCCCGAGTCCTGGGCAGCACTCTCACCTGAATGGAGGCCGAGGCCACCTGGCCAGCTTGGTCAAAGTCCAGGGAGAGGATCTGGGAGAAGCGGGTGGCATTGCCGTTCATGATGGTGGGGCTGTTCCCAAAGGCTTCCAGGAGGGTGTACAGAGCCTGCCACTTCTCCACTGCAGAATACAGGCCCAAGGGGACATCAGGAAAGCCAGGGGCAGCTCATCTCCCAGCTAGGAGCTCCAGAGGTATGAAGGCTTGGGGCCATTCACAGAACTGCCCATGGACAGAGGGGTTTCGGAGGGATGGAAAGGCCAGGGAGAAAAAGAGCTGGCACTTAAGAGGGTGCTCTCTCCTCACTCCCCTCCCCTCACCCCACTTTCAGTTTTCTCCATTGTTCTTGCCTCACCAGAAAACACCTTGTTCCCGCTGACGCCCGCGATGGTGGCCAGGTACTGCACCAGATGCTGGCAGCTGGTGGTCTTGCCACTGCCACTACTACCCAGGAGGATGATCGACTGGTCCTGACGGCTCATCAGCATCGCCCTGTATGCGGTCTGGGCCACTGCATAGATGTGGGGTGCCATGTCCTCCCGCCGACACCCCTTGAACATGTGCATCACCTTGGGCAGGAGAGCAAGGGAGAGAAGGGGTTGGCTCTTAGCTGATCCCATTAAGACATCCCTCACCACTAAGGTCCACATCTTTCTGGATTTTCCCTCCTATAGTGCCCAGGGATTCCAAGGCCATGCATGGAAATGCAGAAGCTAAGTCCTGGACTCCATCAAAGGTTGTGGGGAAGTCCTGTCCCCCATCTCTTGAAATGACTCCTCTTCCCAAGGTCAACTGTGAGAGTGGATAGGAGCCCAGTGGGATGCCACAGGGGAAGGGCAGAGAGCCAGGGCAGGGGGTGGGGCCAGGAGTCTGCAGGGTAGCCTTGAGGGTGCCGCACCTTCTCAGAGTACACAGCAGGGGCCCCACGGGGGCCAAGAACCAGCAGGCTGGGGCCAGCATACGTGTGCAGCAGGCTAGCGCCATAGCGCTGGCGCAAGGTGTGCAGGACACTGGACTCATTGAGGTACACCAGTGAGGCCAGATCCTCCAGACGGTCGCAGGAGGGAGCATTAGCCTGTGTGGGAGGACAGGCGGGTGGGCACTGGAGCAGCAGAGCCCATCTCTGCTGCCAGAGGATGGGCCTGCCCTGCCCAGAGCACTCCTGAGCCTCCTTCCCCAACCCAGCCCCCTGCCCACCTTCTCCACGTCATCCTCGTCCACATCCAGGATGGCCCCATCGTGGTCCAGCTTCACGCGCACTTTCCCCTCAGGCAAGCTGAGCTCCTCGGATTTGAGTTGACTGGCTGCAGGGGAGGGACAGAGAGCTGGGATGGGCCAGGGAAGCCTCTGCTACTCCACGTGGGAACTTCTCGGTCCTGCTCTCCTCCCCACTGCATCACCAGCCTCTTGCTCACTGCTCAGCCCTCACCAGATGCAGAAGGCACATTTGCTGCCCAGCCCTGAAACCAGAGAGTCCTGACATGTGCCCCTGGACACTCCAAGACTCACCCAGTGAGAAGCCATCCCTATGGACCAGCCACACCTTCTCCGTCTCATTCCAGGCCTCCTCCGCTGCAATCTGCTCTTCTGTCTTCGCCTGTCAGCGAGAGGGAAGAATAAAAGGCCCTGCTATAGAAGATAGGGACAAGGACAGCAGGAGAGGGGAGACAAGTGAGAGCATAGGCTTCGAGACAAGCCACTGGGCAAGGAATGAGTTAGGTGACAGACACAGAACACAGGGACATCAGAGGTGTCCGGGAAAGAGGGTGGGGAAGCCAGGAGGCAGGGGTGGCTCTGAGGAGCCCTGAGGACAGGACACAAAGGCTAGGGACCATACCATCAGTGAGGGTCTGGCAAGACAGGGACACAGGGAGCTTGTGCCCAGGAGAGAGCAGGCCCCAGGAAAGCAAATCACCAGGTTCTCCCTCAGCCACCCTCTACCCCTTCACCCTGCCAAGCCCGGGAGATCAGTGTCCTGAGTCCAAGACCCTAGACCCTGGCCACAGCTACTAGGATCTTCCATGCCCAGCTTCTCCCTTCATCCAAATGATAGGGCCTCCTTTGCCAGGCTGGGAGAGGGCATGTCCTCAGATCTCAGTAGGGAGTTGCCCGGACTTCGCAGTACAGAAGGATAGGTGGGCTCGGAGCCCTGGCCTCAGCCCTGGCCCTCCCGTCCAGAGGTTGCTCTACCTGGGCCGGGGGACAGTACCCAGGTACACACACCAGCCTCCCTGCTCCTTCTTCATGCCACCATCAGCAAAGACCCCTGTCACACAGACCTAGTGGACATGCTAATGCCACACAAAGGCACGAGGCAGTGCGGCCAGAGATATGGGGGTAGGGGCAGCCCTGCTCTGTCAAACACAGGGAGAGGCTTGCACATTATACAGATGGACACAGGAGTGGTGTAAAGGGGCTGGGAGCCCCCAGAGGCCTCAGGAGGTCACCAACTCAGAAATAAGCATTCATAGGTACTGACAGGGTGTGGGCTGTCAAATCTGGCACCCTCTAAGAAGGACACTTGAACTGGGAAGAAACGGTGTCTGGGGGACCTGGGGAAACAGGTGAAGGACCCAGGGCCCAACGGGCTCCTCTTGTGTATGGGTGAAATGACAGCAAGGTCATCCTGTGCCCCAGGTGGGGAATGGGCACCCCAGTAGCATGGACCCACCCTCGGGTTAGCCCAAGCCCCTACACTCTTGGAGGGTCCCAGCTGTGAGGCACAATCAGCCTGAAACCTGAGGCCCAGGCGTGGACACTGCCTGGGTCCTGACCCCCTGAGTGAGAAATCAGGAAAAGATAAGGAAACATAAGAAGTTTGTTCTTTGTTACATTTCTTGGAGTTGAAAGAAAAGGAGATGTGTGCTCTCCTCCCAGGTTGGCTTCTGGCTTTAGCAGATCCCTCCAGTGCTGGATGGCCCTTCCCCAGATTGGAATAGGAGGGCTGGGCTGCACCAGTGGCTCCCAGATCTCTGGGTTTCATGGACCCATGAAATAACTCTTTGAATAGGAGGATCACCCCCCACCACGTGGCTGGCAACATTTTGGTGTGTTAAGTGAGGACATTAAAAAGGCTAGTTCTTTATATTTGAAGAACTATAACTTTATAAAAATCATTACAATGTTGTAATTTTTTTTTTTCCCAAATCACATAAGACAGGGGAGACCTTTGTGTTGAATAGGCACCAGATATTTGGGGACTGATGAAGAAGGTGACATCATAGCCTGTAACTAACTCCTTTAAAGTGTATCTGAAAATGGGTTTCTCACATTGGCCAGGAGGTGGAGACAGAGAATGTCTCATGTTCAGGCATGGGCTGGGAAGAGGGCAGGGATTCCGCCTTTTCAGCTTTCTCTCTCCAGAGAGAGCAGAGTTGAAACACCTAGAACTCAACCAGATCCCCCTTGGGCTCCAGTGGCTGAGAACCACATGCCACATGGGCCCAACTTGAAGGGCGACACTCGGTCTAGATGCTCCCCAGGGGCCTGACACAGAGCTGCACCATCTCAAGCTCCTGGCACTACCTCCCGCTGGGGTCCTCCCAGACACAGGGTGGGAGCCTGGAGGAGAAAGAGGCCTTACACTCCAGCAGGAGGCCCGAGCACAGACGCCAGCCCAGGTGCAGGCCGGGGGCGCTGGGTGGTCACCGGAGGGAGCGGAGGGCTCCTGAGTCGGGGGAGAGCACCCTACCTGGCTGTGGGCACGAGAGGCGGCCTCAGAGTCCAGCTACCGACAGCAAGCAAAGGAGAGAGAGAGAAGAAGGGTGAAGACAAGCAGACCACTGGCACGTCCCCTTTAGCAAGCACTCCTGAGTCAAGTGGGCCGGCACTCCCTGGTTGTCCAAGGCTCGGGGTGAAGGTGGGGGTTTGGTGCCAGGACCTGGCCTGAGCAGGTGAACTGCACCCAGTCAAGGATAGGCCAGGAAGGTGAAGAGACACTAGTGACCATCAGGCCTCTCAGAGGACATGCTCCTCTAAGTCATTCCCAGTGGCCTGGGCAGGAGTCTGCCACTCTGCCTCTGGCCACAGTCTCTCCTGGGCTGACCATCCAGTCTGTTCTGAATCAGGCTCCCTCTTCTGTGTGTCTACCAGGCCAGGCCACCTCACCACACCCAAGGCCTGGGCCCCCTGCCAGCCTCCTGCCTTATCTCCAGAGCATTTATCAGCCTAGCTCCCCTGTGGCCACCAGCACAGAGCTGTTCCTTGCCTTCTAACACAGCCCAAGGGTGCCACTCCCCAGGCCAAGGGCTGCGTTCAGAGCTGTCGCCCTGCACCTCTCATAGAACACAGCTCCCAGCAGCTTCCAGTCTAGAATCTCTTCCTCAACCCCAATGCACCCTACAGTACTCCCACCTCTGCCAGCCAGGCACACCGACCCCATCTAGATCCAACCTGGGGACCACTTGACAGCTGCCCAAGAGCCAAGGTACCATGGGCAAACCCTGTGGCCAGCCTTGACCTCTCTGGTTACTTAAAGCCCTGCAAAGCCTTTCTGGGGAGGAAGGCGAGTCAACCAGAACTTGGATGTTACTTGTTAGAAATGGGCAAGGAGTTAACAGGCCCCACCTGGGTCTGAAGAGCCAGGACACCAAAAATAGTGACAGCACCCTTCCTTACCACCCGCCAGGCCCTGCCACCAACACATGTCCTAGAGGTAGGACAATGTGGCCAGAGAAAGGGACTGGGCCCTGAGCGAGGAGGGGTGCCCTCCCACATGCACAGCGCTTTGGGCTCTCTGGAGGAACCACTCTCCCCAGAGTATTTCTCTCATTTCTTCGAGAGCCCGACATAAGGGCCCACAGGCCGCCACGGAGCCACCTTCATGGTCAGCGCGCCTACAGACACACACAGGGTCCTGCCGCCAGCCTCAGGAAGAGGGTGGCCAGGGACTGGGACCCACACACAAGAGGGGCATTACAGAAGCTGTGAAGATCCTCTCCAGCCGCTGGTGGGCCTCTTCCACGGGGGTCAGCTGGACCTTGGCAGCTCCTGCCTAAAGGTGAAACCACTATTAGTCCCAGCCCAGAAACGGCGAGGCCGCAGCATGCAGAGCTCCCAGCACAGGAAGCCACTGGGACCCACCAGGGAAGGGGAGCAAGGTCAGGGAGCAAGCCCCGCGGCAATCTGAGTTTTTAAACTATCAGATTAGAAAAAAAGAACAGTTGTCTGGGAGTTCTGGGGTTATTTCTTCCCACCTGCCTATCTTGAGCACCAAATGGCCCTATTATCCCACTTGCCCTCTGGACCCTGTCCCAGGCCTAGGTGACAGGTGGCTAAACTCCAGGTCAGGGCATGTCTCAGCTCCCAACTCCTCCCTTGTGAGAGGAGGAGGGACAGGGAATCCGAGGGGAGGGCAGCCGCCCGGGAACAGGACCACAACACTCCCCACGTGCTTACGGGCTCTCCAGAGTGACTGACAGTTCTGCCCATACCCTGCCCAAAATGCCCATGCCAGCTCCTCCCTGTGAGCAGGAACAGGCACTTCCCCGATTCACAGACTGGGCCAGGTGGGCGGGAAAAGCAGCAGCTGGCTTTTCTCTAAGTGCTGCAAAGCCCAGGAAGAACGGGGAGCAACAAGGCTCCCCAGGTCCCAGGAGTTAGCAGTCAGGGAGGGGCCTCAAGGCCTCTCAGGCTGTTCCCCCACACCCTCCAGACTCCTCTCCTTCCAGCCAGAAGGAGCCTGCAAGAGCACAGGGAAGTAGTGGCAAAACTTGATGCCCCTCCCCCACACCCTAGGAGGCCTCAGCAGGGTCCACAAAAGGGAAACTTGAAGAGAACTGTCCCCAACTCAGAGGCCAGCCAAGAAGGCAACACTTTCCAAGGGAAAGAGGCTGGACTGACCCTCCCTCCTGCTTCTCAGCCTCCTGCCCCACCCAGAGAACACTTTCTGGGAAGACAGGGTTGTACTATACCCCAAGGGGCCCACTATGCCCATCCGCCATCCAAGCTCAGGGCTCCTGCTGCCAGAGGGTCATGCTGGCCAGGCCTAAAGGAGGCAGTGACGGCAGTAAGCGCATCAATAACAACTGGTACTAGCACCACTATCAATGCTACCATTTATGGAGCACCCACCACGCCAGGGACCAGCTTGGAGCATTATCTGTATCATTTCTAATCTTCTGGTTACTTAAAACCCTTATTATCCCTTATTTGCAATTCCAAAATCCCAAAAGCCCCCCAAAGAAAACATTTTTCTTAACTATTTTGGCGGCAAAACCTGGCAGTTTATCCTCTGTGCCCCTGTAGTGTGAATATTCATAGATTTTGCTTGGGAAATATTAATGTTTGTTATGCGTTGTTGCTCATTATGCATCCTGTATGGCACTAAAATACAAAGATTACTAAGTTCCAAAATACTTCCACACCCAGGGTATCAGAGAAGAAATTTTGGACCTGTATTAACCCCACTCAACAGGGGAAGTCTGAGATGGGACTTTGCTGAGGTCCCAGGGGATGAGTGGCTGGGAATGCAAGCCCAGACCCCAGACTTGAGAAAACATCTTTCCCCCCGGAACTATCTGCTGAGACTCTGATCCTCCGCTTTGGGTCTGGGGCCTCAAGCTGGCGCCGTGTAGCTGGGGACCAGGCCCTGACTCCCACGGCAAGGCCAGCAGCATGCTAGTTAGCAGTTTCCATCCCAGCCGCCGGGCCAGGGCCCAGGCAACTGTGGGGTCCGCATTGGGTTAGGGAAAGCCATGCAGCCTCTGCTGTCAGCACATGACCCTAGGCCAAGCCTCTCGGTCATGCGGGGTTCATTGAGGTGGCTTGGGGCAGCCAGCTGTGAGGGTGTCTGGCCCTTGAGCGAGGGTGGTGAGGGGCAGGAGTGGTTAGTGACATACTCTTGTACCTCCTGCTTCACACCAGGGACTGGTGACTTGGACTGCTGCTCTCCAGTGAGGTCTGACTTCAGGCCAGCAGAGCCTAGGGCCGCCAGCTCCTCCCGTGGGGCTGGGGAGCGCTGCTTCTTTGGGGTTTCAGGCTTGGCTGGGGATCCTGCTTTCTCTGGGGAGTCCACCCAGTCTGGGGAGCCTGGCTCCTGGCTGGAGGGCTTCTCCCCCTTCCCAGGAGACTGCTTGCTGCGGGCCTTGTGCTCCTTGCCCCTGCCCCGAGACATCAGGCTCCGCAGGCCCAGGGAGAGCTCATCCTTGGCTGCCTCCTTCTTCGCTTCAGGCTTAGGCAGAGCAGAGGGAGGCGGGGGAGGGGGTGGCGGCTTGGGACTAGAAGCTGCCTTTTCTCCCCTCTTGCTTCGAGTCGGGTGCTCAGGGGACTTGACTCCTCTGCCTGGGGGCTCCTTGGCATTCCCAAGCTCCTCGCTGGGCAGCACCTTACTCACCACCTTCCTCACTGCATTTGCCACCCGCTTCCGGGACAGGCCCTGGACCTCTTCGCTTGGGCCTTCTGCTGTGGCAGCTCCCAGGCCATTCATGGCGAGTGTGGGTGCAGGGCTCTTGGCTCTCTGAGAAGTCTCTGGGGGTATCGGGCTGGTGGGAGGCTGAGGACTCCTACATGGGCCGCTGCCTTCCTTTGAGCTGCCCTCTAGCTATAGTCATACAAACACAGGTAGACGTTAGCATCACCCCCTGCAGCCCTGCCCATCCCATGCAGAGGGAGTAAGAAGGTGTGACCTCGCGCCCTGGAACAGATCTCCCATTCATCCAAAGCAACACATGGCTCCAAGAGGCTACCCCAAGAAGCCCACTTTCCATCTTCCAGATAGGACAATTGCAGCTAAGAGTCTGGCTTCTTTTCCACAAAGCACGATCAGATACTGCTGTCACCTGCTGTCCATTCCCAGGCTCAGCATGGACCTGTGAGATGCCGGCGCACAGTGCCCAGAGGCCTGTGAGGCGCTCTGGGGTTACTGGCTTTGTGTTAGGGCAGCAACCAAGTCCCAATCTAGGCGAGCCCACTGCCTCACAGCTCAGATGCAGCAGAGATGGAGCATGGAGAGGTTAAACAGCCAAGTACCACCTCCATTCCCACCACCAATCCCAGGCCTAACTCCAGGGCTTCCTGCCTTTGTGGTCCTTGGTCCTTCCATCACCTGTTTGCTGGGCAGTCAGACCAAAAGCCTGCCCATCCTGAAGGGAAAAATGATCAGGGAGCTCTTCCCGGCCCCACGACATGCCAAGCATCCTCCTCGCAGTACCCCTCGTCTGTGGCCACTGTCTGCCCTTCAACTATATTCTCAAGCACTGCAGAGCCCAACATGGGCCCAGGAAGCTTCCACTTTAGCCTGTTTTCTGCAGTCTCTTTGCAGTTTTCCTCCTGCAAACCTTTCAAGGGTTTGGAGACCCCCTAGCTCCCAGAGTGTGTGTAGAGCCCACAAAGGGTTAAGCACTCAAGCAGCCTCAGCTCCATTCTGCCCTGGAGTGGACTGGTATACTCTAGCTGGTGTGCCCACCCTTCCCCTACACACTGGTGCTGTCTGGGTCCCAAGGGACTGCCACTGGAAGGCCAGGCTGGCTAACAGCAGGACAGTTTCCCATAAAGCCAGCCCCATTGCCTGGGGGGAGTAAGGGCAACTGGGGGTCTCCTTGTTGGACAGGCAGAGCTCTGTCACCAGCTGAGCTGTGCTTGAGTCCTTGCTGCCCAAAACAATGATCTTGGTTCTAGAACACATATGGGCACTGGGCTCTGTGAAGGCCCACCTGCCCATGCTTGCTTGGATGCAGGAAGATGTTCATAGTAGGCACACCTGGGAGCTGCTGCCTCTGGATGCCACAAGGAGAAGTTGCTCCACCTTTTGCGCAGAGCTGAGCCAAGGGCCTTAATCTAGGCCCTGGTTACAGGTTGGCTCTGCTGAAGGGATAGAGAGAGTAAGGGCTTGAAGGTGCCTCTTCCTCAACCTCTTAGGCCAAGAGTGATCAATGGCATGCCAGGGCACTGCAGAGTTGGCCAGTGGCCCTAGCCACTGGATCCTACACTCCTCCCCTCCCTCTTCTGGCTTTTCTCCCATCCCCCTTCCATCATTAAGATGATGACGATGCGCCAGGTGTGGTGGCTCACGCCTGTAATCCTAGCACTTTTGGAGGCCAAGGCAGGGAGATTGCTTGAGCTCAGGAGTTCAACACCAGCCTGGGCAACATGGTGAAACTGTTTCTACAAAAAATACAAAAATTATCCAGGCTTGATGGTGTGCGCCTATAGTCCCAGCTACACTACTCAGGAGGCTGAGGTGGGGAGGATAGCTTGAGCCTGGGAGGCAGAGGTTGCAGTGAGCTGAGATGGCACCACTGCATTCCAGCCTGGGTGACAGAGTAAGACCCTGTCTCAAAAAAAAAAAAAAAAGAAAAGAAAATGATGATGATGATGATGATAGTAATTGGTAAGACTTACACAGTACTTACTATGGGCCATGGCACTCTTCCAAGCACTTTACATGTAGTTTTTGCAAAAAAAAATAAATAAATTCTGGGCAACTCTGAGGCCTCTCCCTCACACACGCACATCCCTTTCAAATCACAGTCTGGCTTTCCAGGATTGTTTGCAGATCAGGTGGAAGCCACAGTGCCTGGCTAATCAAATTGACCAAGGAAGTACGGGGAGCCACGACAGGCACCATCTGGGGTAATGAAGTAAGGATCTGTGTTGTGATCCAGCTCTGCCCCAGAGCCCTGGGCACTCCTGCCCCCTGTGCCACCAGCTGCCCTCTCCTAACTACGCATCTCTGGACTTGGCTATTCAGAAACCAATTCTCCTCTCTTGCCTTAGGAGAGTCCAGGTTTACTCAGGGTCTCTATCCCAATGCACTGGGGCTGGAGGCAGTGGGTAGCTGGAGCCTGCCTCCAGGTCACCTGCACCAAGCAGCTGACAGGGTCTTGGAAGAGACAGCAGCGACTGCAGTGAAGTCGTTCCACGCCCTTGCCTTGTGCCACCCAGAGCAGGCTGAAGAATCCCAACAGCTGAGCTCTCATTTGACGCTCCCTAACCTAAGTGTTTGCCCACCCAAGCCTCTCCAGGCCCAAAGGGTTCAGGACACCAGAAGCAAAG